AAACCTGTGAAGTTGAACTTTGAGAGGAATGTTTCTGAAAGAACCCAATGATTTCTGATATGCTAAATAAATAAAGGCAAAAGAAGCCAAGGATTTTTCACAGGGTTTTGTTCCTTGTTATAGCAAGGAAAATCTCCATTGTAAGTGTAGAACGTATCAGCATTTGGGAGAGAATGAAAGATGTAATCAAGAATTTTATTAAAAGATCTGATAGAATCATGCTCACAGTTGCATGGCTAAGTAGAATTCAGGCAAAGTTTATGGGTAAAGATAACACCTTTTGTTGAGTCAACTAGTATAACTAGAAAAAAATTGTTTCAGGCACAAAAATCTTTTTCAGGTTTATCATTTTCTCATTTCTGCTCTGAAATCGTATTTCCAGTCAGTGAAAATCTAACACTGTACATTGCCAATGTACACAATCCTTTTTTCCTAACACTATAATTCAATGCAATTATATTGATAAACATCCCCCTTACTCATCTCGAAATGGTTGTCTCCTGGTACTAAATTTCTTTCAGCTCAAATTATATCCCCTGAAAAGTTATTCAAACTAAATCAAAAAGAGTTCTCTAGAAGAAGAATATTTACAGGCCACTGGTAGAAGCCAGGCCTATTAAAAAAGTAAAGTTCAGTATCTTTCAAATAAATATCCACCAAAAAAGAAAGCATAGAGTTACTAATAGAATCACTTAGCAAAATGTAAGTCAAAGAAAAAAAAAGTCTTTTGGTAAACAAATATATAAATAAAAATTCTACTGAAAATCATAGCCTTACATGGTATGTAAAAAATCAGAACTACAAAGTCCACAGTGCCAAAGAATACCACCCCTCTGTTGTTTGGGCTAACATTTTGCATAAAATCTCAGAAGAGTCTCACAAACCTCCCCAGGAGCAATGTCACAAACAGACACGTGCATGCTAATAAAATGCTAGGATTTATTTGGGGGTAGAGGGGTGAGTTTTGACTCACAATGAAAATTACCAGATTTAGTTTTCATGTAGAGATTTTTTAATAACTGCCCCAGTTGAAATTATGTAGTCAGACCTATACATTTTATGGAACTTCTAGCGAGTCATAAATTGCCAACAAAAAGACTAACATTGCTTTAACCACGTAGAATTAGAGTAAGAAAGTGGTCCAACAATGCAACCAACAATTTCAACTGTTGAGCATGAGAAAAGCAGTATAAAGCTAGCTCCCGAGAGTCTGTAATAAATGTGGGCTAAAAAGACTGCACATTTCACCTGTGTTTGGGAAGGAATGCATCCAGCATCCAGCACTGGCTCCCAGGTAGTGAGAGGTACTGTGCTGCAAAGCTGTGAGCACATCCGCGGTGGTATATAGAGCCCTTTGGGATCACCTTAGCTCCACAAGAGCCACCTACTGTTCCCCAGGAAGCCAGAACACTGGATGGTAGCAAGCAAAGATATGCAAGTGGCCATGAATTCAGGAAGAGAAATATATATATAATGCTGCCACAGCTCCCTTGCCACCACTCAGTTAGAAACTATTTATAGAATCACAGAATTGCAGAATAGTTTGAGTTGAAAGGGACTTGGGTGTCTCCAGGGATGGGGCATCCACCACCTCTCTGGGCAACCTGCTCCAGTGCCTCACCACCTTGACTGTAAATTACTTTTTCCTTGTGTCCAATCTAAATTTTCTCTCCTTTAGTTTGAAACCCCTTGTCCTATCACAACAGCCATTCTGTGATTCCATGATTCTATGAAACAGATCCTGCTGAAGGGCCTGCCCCCTTCTTTCTTATAGCTCCCCTTCAGATACAGAAAAGCCACTACTGAATGGCAGCCCTGGGGAAGGAATAAAAAGAAAAGGCAACTACTGTGCACTAACAACTTCAAAGGGAATGAATACGAGGAAATGGCGCAAAGCGCTAAGTGGCTGCTCAGCACTACATTTTCTCAAGTGAGTCCTGCTGCTTCTTAAAAAAAATTACTGCTCAAAGTAAAGCCTGTATACGAAAAGGTAGAAATGCAGTCTGTTGAGGTTGTGATCCCAGCAACAGTGTGAACACTTGTTTTTCAATCAGTTCACTTTCCCTGCCTGTCTGGTTCATGCTGTGGCCACATACGCACTTGGGCCAGGACAGAGCAAAGGTGCCAGAATGGCATGGATGAGTGACTGGGACCTGGAATGGGGGCTGTGCATACACAGCAGTGCCACCAGACACACTCACATGAAGACATATCCTCAGTGCTGATAATTAAGTAAGACTTGTTTTTTACAAGTAGCATCAATAACTGAATGTGAAGCAAAGACTTAATATCTGAACAATCCTTGCAAAATGGTTTGGCCTGAACATGTTAACCTTTTGTCATTAGCGGAGACGTTAAGAATGGCATGTTGTATGGATTTTGCCTTAAATTGGTGTGGATATTACCTACATAAAATCCTTTTTATACGGTGCCAAAATCAAAGTTTTTTGCCTTTTTTTTTTTTTTTTTAACAGAATAGCATCCTAGTGGGTGGAAGACAAAAATGTGACATTCAAATTATATCCTTCAAGAAATTATGACACCTTCAAAGCTACTAACAGAATTTGTTTCATAAACAAATTACAGCAAAATCATTCTAACTTGATTTGATAGTTATCATGGACTATAGGTAACTGACTGCAAATAACAACTTAAAGAATCAACCTTTTCAACCTGTGACTTTTTTTGCTAAAAAGTACTTACCTTCAGATGCACTGAGAATTCAGTCGTTCTCTGCTTACAAGATTTTTTTCCATAGGAAAGATTTTAAGTCTACTATCAAGTGATACCACAGTGCAGGGCAGAACTAATGGTTTTATTAACTACCTTTCCTTCAGGCTAAATGAAAGGAACAGTTTTGCCCCACTTACACAGCAAAGCAGTTGGAACCAAGAAAAGCAACCACATGATGCCACAGCAAATACGCAAGTGCATGACCAGAAGCTTGACAGGTTCACTGACTCAAAACGGAGGGCTTGGGAACTGTCTGTCCAGCTATGGGAGAAAGAGATGCACTGATCCAGGAGGAAGGCAGTGCTAAAGAAGCCAAAGTGCTGAAAAGAGGCAACATTTTTGACAGGGAACCTCACAGTTGGGTTTTCTTCACAGAGTAAAAGGAAACAGACACTCTTCATAATCTTTGTATGTCAAGAGAAGAAAGACAAGAGACACACTTGGCTCAGTCTGTCTATCTCCCTAAGGTAACAAATGTGCAAAGCCTCAATTACTGTTAAGTCCCTAGTTCCAATACCACCTGGAAACTCTTAAACTCCAAAGCCATGTCTCATTACAGTCCCAACTAAAACAAGATGGCTGTAGAAAAGACAAAGTGAGACAGATTATAATAAAAGCTTATGTAAAGAGGTTTCCCCTCCTACTCTATACCTACAAAGCAAGCTGTAGCTCCTTATTTGAAGGAAGTTCCTTTTCAGCAGCCTTCTGGGCTACAAAAAAATCTAAGTTTTCTCTCCTGAGTCCTAAAGAACAGCCTTCTACTGTCCATTCTGAGAACATATCCATTCCTAACTCTTCTTGAGACTCCCTGTCCCTACTTTAAATACTACAACATCAAGCTTGCTATCTCTTCTATCCCCACTTTCACACTGTGGAAGTTTTAATTCTGAGCTAGTCCGGCTGCCATTGGATCAGATGCCACTTCTCACTGCATGCCACAGCCTCAGTGCAGCCTAGCATGCAAAGGGGGGGAGAAACAAAATGGCAGTCTGCCTCCCCTGTGTCCAGCTACTGCACTTTTAAACACATGGCATCTGGAATACTGCAAACAAATTAGCACTCATTACCTTTGCCTTTAGTTCTTCTGAATTATCCCATTCTCTGGAAGGAATTAAACAGCCCTGCTTCTTCTGTCTAAAAACGCGGGGAAGGACTTGGTCGTTGTGGTGGATGAAAAGCTGGACGTGAGGCAGCAGTGTGCACTTGTAGCCTGCAAGGCCGTGTTCTGGGCTGCATCAACAGAGGGGAGGTGGCAGGCTCTGCCCTGTGAGGTCCCACCTGCAGTACTGCATCCAGGGGCCTCCAGCACAAAAAAGATGTGGAGCTGTTGGAGCAGGTCCAGAGGAGGGTCATGAGGATGGTTAGAGGGCTGGAGCACCTCTAGTGAAGAAAAGTTGAGGGAGCTCTGCTTGTTCAGTTTGGAGAAGTGGGAGGTCTCTGGGGAGACCTCATTGTGGCATTCCAGCTTATAGGTAGGAGACTGAATCTTACACAATCTAATCGTGATAAGATAAAGGGGAATGGCTTTAAACCAAAAGAGAGATTTCGATTAAATGTTAGGAAGAAACTCTCTACTCAGAGGGTGGTGAGGCCCTGGCACAGCTGCCCAGAGAAGCTGTGGTGCCCCATCCCTGGAGGTGCTCAGTGCCAGGTTGGATGGGGCCCTGGGCAGCCTGAGCTGCTGGGTGGCAGCCCTGCCCATGGCAGGGGGTTGGGACTGGGTGGGCTTTAATGTCCCTTCTAACACAACCCATTCCATGATTCTGTGATCCTTACAAAACTGTCACAGAGCTCTGATAAGATGAAGTCAAATCCAATTTGCTACTGCAGGGGGTTCAGGCTGAACTGTTAAACAAGGCTTAAAATGTGTCTGTACATACTGAGTGTATCTGCACACCACATAAGGCTGAAATATTCACTGTGAACTGTAGCTATCAATAGACTAATAAAAAATATATTTGACAGGAAAATATGGTAACTAAATTCTCAGTCTCGCCAATCTGTTCCTCTGCTGTTTGTGTGTCTCCCTATCGTAGTACACTTGCTTATGTTTCAGCTGCCTATGTCACATGTACGTGACACACACACACATATATATATATACACACATACACGCACGCAACAGCCGTGCGCCGCGCACTCGGCGTTCGATTGCGGTGACTGGGCTCCGATCGGGCTAGCAGGGGGAGGGGGGGGAGCTCCCTCCTTTCTCTCGGCGCTGGATTGGTCGCGCCTACTAGGAACCGTGTGTTGTTGTCAGAGGCAAAATGGCGGCGGCGGTGGCCGGGGCCGCCCTGCTGGGCAAGGGGCTGGACATCAGCCTGGCGGCGCTGCAGCAGCACGACCCCTACATCAGCAGCATCGTGGACGTGGCCAGCCAGGTGGCGCTCTACACCTTCGGGCACCGCGCCAACGAGTGGGTACGTCGGGCCGCCCCTCCTCGCGACCCCCTCCCGGCTGCGAGGGGAGGAGCTGGCACCAGGCTCCGCCCATATATGGGCGGGGGCTAAGACAAGGCCCCGCCCCCATCCCTGTGCGGAAGTGGGGGTGCCCTGCCATGAGGAGGTGTGAGGGTAGGGTGGACTGGGTGGCTTTGTCAGCTCTTCCTGGGCTGGGCTTGTGGCCTGGTAATGGGGCTTTAAAAGTAACATTAGGCAGCCTGGTGTGTTGAGAGCTGGGCTGGAGGAGTTTGCTGCTGTTTGAAAATTGGTATTGGCCAGAAGCAGAGTGTGTGTGTGCAAGCTTTCAGTTTACCAACAGCAGAAAGGCTATTAAAGATGTAATTAACCTCATGGAGTCGTTCTGTTAGTTCAAGGGGCATATCTCACCCTTAACCTGGCCTGTGCTAGTTGTGCTCTTTCACCACCATCCTGCTGAGCTGGGATAGAATCATAGAAAGGCCTGGGTTGAAAAGGACCACAACGATCACCTAGTTTCAACCCCCCTGCTATGTGCAGGGTTGCCAGCCACCAGACCAGGCTGCCCAGAGCCACATCCAGCCTGGCCTTGAATGCCTCCAGAGATGGGGCATCCACAACCTCCTTGGGCAACCTGTTCCAGTGTGTCACCACCCTCTGTGTGAAAAACTTCCTCCTAATATCCAACCTAAACCTCCCTGTCTCAGTTTCAAACCATTCCCCCTCGTCCTATCACTATCCACCCTCATAAACAGCTGTTGCCCCTCCTATTTAAACATTGCCTTCAACTACTGGAAGGCCACAATGAGGTCTCCCCAGAGCTTTCTCTTTTCCAAGCTAAACAAGCCCATTTCCCTCAACCTTTCCTCATTTGTTATTTTTCTTTATGGGAAAGAGGTGAAATGTGTTGGTTAAACAGATAAAGAAACTTGCTTGTGTCTGGCAAAACGCAGCCCTAATTTAAACTTTATTAATATTCTGATTCAGGAGAAGACAGATGTGGAAGGAACGCTGTTCGTTTATACAAGGTGAGAGTGTTACATCTGAAGGTGCAGCCTGTGGGTGTGGGGAAGCTGGGATGAGGCTTGTCTGAAGGACAGAAAATGCTCCCAACTGTGTTGTACTTAGAGGTGAAAGGAAACTGTAATTGGCAAAGACAAACATAAAGGAGGAAGTGCAGAAAAGGAAGGATCGTCAAAAAGGAGGGATCATCATGTATATGACTTGAAGATGTGGTTTAAATTCACTTGGCTCAACCATAGAAATCTGTTATACTGCCTTAAATAGGATTCAGTGTTGGCAGGTTAAAGGTGCCTAAACAAAAAATAAACAGAAATAAATAATGATATTTCTTAAAGAATGGTAGAAGATATGAGCACTGTATTTAGGAGTTAGTATTTCTTCAGTCTGATTGTTCAATTTTGTGGATATTCCATCCAGCATTTGGATTTTCTCAGTGCTTGCTGTTTGCAGCATCTGTAATTACAGCTTTTCAGAGCTTGGAATTGGTCACTTACTTCAATGTGTACTTTAGCTCTGTTGTAAGTGTGTTTTGTTTTTAGGTTTCCTAAGCAGCGCCCAAGCATTTCCTTGTAGCACTGTTAAAATCAGAAAATGACATAGTGAGCACATCTTGCAGTAGCTGATGGGATGGGATGCTGAAGAAGAAGCTTTCAGTGTTTATTTTTGAGGAACTGGTAGGAAAACTGAGGAAACAAGAGACTGTTTTCAGAGGGCAAGAGGTGTGTGAGTAAAATGGCAAATGGACAGGAAGGCCCAGGAGACTGAGCTTTGTGTGGAGTGGGAAGGGTGGAATTAATCTTTTGAGTTCTCTTGTACCAGCAGTTGAAATTGTCATCAATAACTTTTCTAAACTTCTTTAAGGTAAATGAAGGGGAATAAAAAGGTTACCATTGCAAAAGGAAAGAGCTGGCCCTTGATTTTGTTAGCAGTAGCTAGGGGTAGCTGGTTGCATGCTGCAAAATAGAGGTATTTGTCTGGTATGTTGGATTTAAACCTTCAGAACTTGACAACGTCACCTGACGTGTTGTATCTGTGATCTTTCATCATGCTGTTTTGTTGGCTGAGGAAGTTTCTATTTACAGCAGAGATTGCTATCCTTCCTGCCGTGTAGGTGACTACAGCAAACAGGTTGTGAACAACATTATACAGGGCCTTTCCCACCAATGTTATTTCTTGTGGCTTTGAGCAATGTTATAAAATCTTGTTACGTCATAAACGTTGCCTACAGACTGCAGGTTGGAGTCTGCTGATGTTGCTTTGTTGCTTTTTGTTACTGCTATGAGAATGTAACATGGCTCTTCTGCTGGAGCTGATTTTTATCACGAGTTGAAACTTTGCAAATTCTGAGGAAGGGTCAAAAATCAGGCTTCCCACTGAGTTAGTACCAATGGAAGTTCATTCTTGTAACTTAAGTACTGATTGGATTCTTGTTAAGGGTTCTGCTTGTTTCGTTTCCTGTTGCATCTTACTCTCCACTGCAGGTCCCCATGCTTTAGATTTCTTAGATGTCCACCAAAAGGCAATTACCAGAGATGGCAATTTTACCAAATGCTTAAGCATCACAATATACTTTTGTCAAATACGAAAGTAATGTCTCCTGTCAGGATGGTAATAGGTTTAACACCTGACATTAATAAAAACTGACTAACTGCTTGAACTGTAACCACCGTAGGCAATTGTCACAATTTTTTCACTTACGTTTTAGATAGGTTTTTCAGTATTGTCCACAATTGCTACTTGAAGGTTAGTGATGATAATAAATATAATTGCAGTAATAAAATATGCAGTGCTCCTTGCTTATTTCTGAATGTAATCATCATTTTCTACAAGAAATTATGGTTGGAAAATGTGATACTAGTGATCTGGGACAAAATGAGAATTTTATACTATCTGTGAGTGGGGAAAAAATGCATTTTAGAGGACCATGCAACAGAGAAAACCACAGTAATTCCTTTTTTTTTTTTTCTTGACTTGATGTGATTTCTACTTGATAATTTTCAGATCAGCTTCTCCAAGGCATGGCTTCACAATTATGAACAGGCTGAGCATGGAAAATCGAACGGAACCAATTACTAAAGACCTTGATTTCCAGCTGCAGGACCCTTTTCTACTTTACAGAAATGCCAGATGTAAGTATGTGATATGTTGAGTTAAATGTTGAAGAGGTGAGCTCTTCTTCAGCATCTATTCTTAGTTGAGGTAATTAGATTAGAGTTTAGCTTTAAAGGGCTGGAACTGGCTGGTTAACATTTGCAATTGAAGGAGTATATTTTGCTCATTGACATGCAAAAAGAGTTGTGAAATGCTACCTGAAATGCCACTGTTGAAAAGGAAGTCACTTTAAACTGGCAAATAACAGACTTCTGTGGCCCCATGTACGTGATGGGTGTAGAGACACATAGACATGTGTTGTATGTTCTGAATATACTCTGGTCAGTGCTGGGATGTCTTGTCATAATACAAGCCCACTGAAGATTGGAATAATCCTTGTGAGCTGTGTAAGGGTAAACAAATGCAGCTAGTTCAAGCCTCTGTGCTCCAGCTCTGATGCACTGTCCTTAGAGCATCTTAGAAGGGGGTTACTTCCCAACTATTATGGGAAACAATGACGCTGTGACGCTAAGCCTAATTCAAACTCCAATGAAAGATGAAGTTATTACTGTGGGCTGTGTGTTTGTCTTGCATAATTGTCGAACCTCTATACAAGCATGCATCTGGCAAATTCAGAAATGAGTGGAAGACATGAAAAAGCTGTGCTTTTACACACAGATAGACACACAGACTGTGATAATGTGCAATTGTATAAGAACAAACAGTTATAAATAAGCAAGTTTATATTTGTACTTGGAAATAGAGCTATAGTATGATCTATATTTTGTTCTTGATGCATAAAAGTACATTGCAAAAAATCCTTATGTGAAATGTGTTGCAGAAGTGTTCCCTCTGGATGAAGTAAAAGCAGAGGAAATTGATGGCATACAAAGCAGCGCAGTTTGATAATCTGCTAGACCTTTTTATTTCATAAACTTAATTTGGAGTTGGCATGTATATCAAGAGGGAATTCTACCACATAGTGTTGTTTCTACCACATAGTATGCATGAGCAATAGAGATGGCATTATTTTAAATAATCTAAATGAAACTTCTATTTCCAAGAGCATTTGGTGGGCTGAAAAACAGTTTAAATTTGCTATCTGAAATTCCCCAAAAAGCTGAAAAGAAATACAGACATCTCCAGGCTAACCTAGGCTATCAGGATTCTAAATACCTTGAGACTTTTCTCCCGTGTGATTATGAAAACTTTCCTATGTATATTTAATGTATTTTTGTCTTGTTTTGAAATTCCAACAGAAATTTGTGTATGTATGTATACCTGCTTTTTGAAGCCTGATCTATTAATTCTTTCTTTTTGTTGAGGCAATTAGCAATAAGAATAATTAGAAGTTATCATAATTATACTGGCATGAAGAAAGACAGTCTTCAGTCCAAATACTGCATATAAACTGATCTATTTAGGAGAAAAATCTGGGGGCTTTGGAGGGAAGTATTAAACCATTTGTTCACTAAGAGATGTCATAATTATAGATTTGCACAGCCTCAAATACAGGTACTAACATGCTTCTGATAACGCATCTTGGTATTTTATTGGTTAATTGTGCAACAGCAAAGTGCAGAAGGCTGCTTTTTTGGGCTCTGCATAGACAGTGATTCCTTTTGGAGTAGGATTTGAAAATGGAGTAGGATTTGAAAATGATTATCCATCAGCTTTTACAAAGCTCAGAGTGCTTTGTTGGTGACTTTTTGCACTTCTGTGCAATTTTATTAAATCTTCCTATGTTCATAAACACACTAAATGACTCCCCTTCACTTGGTAAGGTAATATTCCCTTCTGCTAGGAGACGTTGTAGATCTGTACTACAAAGCTGCAGCATTTTGAGTGTAATGTTAGAGATCAAATGCAAGAGTTGTAGTAGACAAACTAAGGAGGATTGGAGCACAAAAGTGAAAAGGATGTCCTTGGAGGCAAACTACTGTGCTGGTTTTAGCTGGAAGAGAGTTAATTTTCCTTGCATAGTGCTATGTTTTGGATTTGTGACCCAAGCTCTTGTGATTTTTGAGTATCTGTTATAGTTGCTTTCTCACATAAGAGGACTTGTATTATCTGTCCTGCCCAATGTTTTGCAAGTTCTAGTTTTCTGATCTTGTTATATTGCATCTATCGTCTTAGAAAAATTGTTTTGCATCCAATATATTATTGCAGTAGAAAAAAAAGCTTTCTAAAACCATATAAAAGTAAATTTTATTAATAATTAAGAAACTTTTGATCTTTCACTTTATTATGCTTCAAACTTCTCCTGTTGGTCCATTGTTCTTGGTAATCAAGAATTGAAATACTATCTAAGAACGCTTTTCAAATGCCTGTAATCTGTTCACAGGTCTTTGGGGGTTGGTGTTGGGATCCATGCAAGTAAATGAGTGCACGGATCCACTCCTTCACAGAAAAGTTTGGTTTGGAAAATCTAGTCAGGCAGGTGTAAGAGTTATTCATTTCAAAGCCAAAAGAGTTAGATACAGGTTATAGCATGTTTAATGCCAGAAGAAATCTTTAATTCCAACAAGAAACAAAAAGCACATCAGTCAAATAAGTGAGATGGCCTTCCAGTACTTGAAGAGAGCGTTTAAATAGGAGGGGCAACAGCTGTTTATGAGGGTGGATAGTGATAAGACAAGGGGGAATTGAAATTGAGAGGGGGACGGTTTAGGTTAGGTATTAGGAGGAAGTTTTTCACACAGAGGGTGGTGACACACTGGAACAGGTTGCCCAAGGAGGTTGTGGATGCCCCATCTCTGGAGGCATTCAGGGCCAGGCTGGATGTGGCTCTGGGCAGCCTGGTCTGCTGGTTGGTGACCCTGCACACAGCAAGGGGTTGAAACTAGGTGATCGTTGTGGTCCTTTTCAACCCAGGCCATTCTATGATTCTGCAAAATATGTTCCATGTTATTTGTAGACATTGGTAGTTAACCACAGTTTCAGATACTTTCTGTGTGCAAATAAGACAGTACTGCTTTTTTTTATCATCTAATGATTTCAAAAATTTAAAGTATTTCCTGGATTATATATTTGAGTAATCTTATCTACGTAATTAATACTTTTTTCCTTAACCTTTGGTGGTGCTTATTGCAGAAAAAGAACATTTGGAACCTCCTGCTTGAAGCTTGATGCTGGTTAATGTGAAATAGTTCAGAAAAATGCATAACTGTAAATTCTTGGGTGAAATAACTTCAGTTTCTCCTTCTAGCAGTGGTCAACTATACAGTAATTTACTTGCAACTATTCCCAATGGTGTATTTTGTACTGGGTGTATGAGATTGTATGCTGGGCTAGCAAATTATTTCTTGTGTTGACTGATGTACAATTTCATCACTGAATACTGTTTTTCATGCTTATCGAACATGGGGTACTTGAGGAAAGTTGCATATGTTAGAGCTCAGTACACCTTGTGTGTTTCAGCTGCCAGAAAAAGATACCAGATCCAGCTTATAAGGAGCTTGTATGCCAGTTACCACTGCTGATTATTGTACTACAGGAAGTGGAGAAAGAAACTTTGGAAGCTCTACAAATAGTCTCACCAGTTCTACAAATAGAATCTGACCAGATTCTGTGCCCATTTGTGCATTCTGGGTCATATTTGTAGCAAGGCCTTTGGTCATGCTATCTAGTAAAATTGAAAGTGAATGAAGCTTTCTAGCCAGATGTGACGTATTCTATTGAATATCAGGTTTTGTAGAAGTCCAGGAAGTGCTACACAGGCAGATCAGACGTGCTTGCTTCTCATAAAGGTGCCTCGTAATAATTTCAGTTTAACTTGCCACCTTCTGTTTGTCAGAACCCTAAACAACTGACATCATTTTTCTAGATTTCTATACTGCAAAGACTTCTGGTAGACGAGACTGGAAGTTTGCCAGACAAGCAGCTTAAACTTTGTCATGGGTGGGTTTTATTGTTGCTATTGTTTTTTCTCCCTCCTATGTCATAACTATTTTTACATGATATTTTTTTTTTTTTCCCAAATGTAGGTTTGTGTTTCAAGGCAAATGATTGTAAAATGTTAGGAAAAGGTAACTGTATATATATTTCTTAAACTTTTCATCTGTAGATTCTGTGTTGCAGCATACTAGAGCGCTCTCAAACAGAAGAATTCATCGTCTTGGGAGACTAATTTGGGTCCCTTTCGTTAACTTTTCCAATGTTTATGTGTTGTTATAAATATATACTGAATAGCTAATGTGTCCTGATTCTGTAGGCATGTTGGAAGACTCATTGATCCTGCAGGTAGACTAATGGTAACATTTTTCTTGTAAGGAGCAGCTTGATTAGAAGAATATGAGAAGTTTACTTCCCAAGATAAAAGAGGAGACAACAGTAGTAGAATTTGGGTGATGTGTAAAACTGAATATAGCATGAATAAGTGTCTGCTTTACCCTGAAATTTATTCTTGTTCTGTCATAGATTATATATTCTATAATTCAGTTTTATAAATCTCTTCTTGCTAACCAGATTTGGCTGATTTTTTTCTAAAAGCTTGCCTGGATCAACCACTGACGTTTGCTTAGAATACAAATTTGTGTGTTTTACCTGAGGTGCTGTCCTTGGGAGACATTTTTGTCTTGGAAAAAAGTGGCTCCTCCTCCTTTCCCTTCTACCACCTCTCCTTTGATCAGTATGATAAAAATTCATCCTGCCTCCAGCTGGGCAGGAACAGCAGCTGAGGTCAGGATTGTTCTCCAGGGATATTCTTTACCTCTGACTGAAACCTCGGTTTTGCTGAGAACATTCAAATCCTAATGTTTTATATTAAAATAATATGTTTATATAATAAGATGTTATTTTTCCTTTTTGAAAGGAAAATACTCATACCAAAAGTACACTAACATTGCAGTGTTGCTTCTAAAATCAGAAAATTAAGTTGACGGACAGGATTAACTGTCACGTTACATGCATGTTTTTAAAAACCTTTTTTAGCATCTGTGTGGCTTAAGTGTCTTATAGTTCATTGTATATGCAAATTTTTTCAAAGCAAATTTATCCCTCCTTGTGTTTTATTTACTTGTCTGTTGCATAGTGACTATAAATTTTTGATTATTTTTCTTTTCCGTGTGAGGTTCTGTCTTCCTTGCAACTGCTTGCAGAAATTATCTGTTCTTAGCCTGGTCTATAAAAGTATATGTGAAAGCATTATTACTTCACTGTATTTCCTGCTTAGTGCCTTCCTTTGTGTTCTGTGGCATGCTATTGTGCTTAAAAAAAAAAAAATCAAAATATCAGGAAGAATAATCTACCCCTTTAGGAATGACATAGGTGTTACTTTGGACTTCTATGCTTAGAACCATAAAGTAGGTGTGCTTCTATATTAAATGTTGGCATTTCTGTCTCATATTCAAATTTTCAAGGGTACCTACAAATCCTTAATGTTTACTTGTAGAGATGTAAAAACAATATGATAACTTTATGGCATAATTAAACTGTATTTTGCATGCAAGCATAGATGGGCATACAGCAATGTTAGCCTAAGAAAGGAGACTTTTAAGGCCAGGAGTCCTGATCTTTAGCAATTAGCTAGCATGCCTGTTTTAGAGTATACAGTCAGATGCATCTGGTTTTGAAATCTGTTGCTAAACTGCTTGATGCTATGGAAATTGGATTGGATTTTTATGTAGTGTGACCTCTGAAAGGGGACAGGATGATTTGGTTGTTTATTTATGAAGAAAAGATGTGTTTGTGTGTGTGTATGCAGAAATCACTGCAAAAATAAATAATCAGCAGGTATTGGTTGATCCTGTTTTCCAGTACGCAGGATTTTTTGTGCTTATCATGAGAACTAGATGTAGTTCAATGATTGCAAATTGAGGTTTTTAGAGTTTGGATCAAGAGGAGGAATTGTATGATTCTATTTTGTTTTTTTTCTGTTAGGTTTTTTTTTGTTGTTGTTGTTGTTTTAAACAAAACTCTTTGTGCTTGTATTTCTGAAGTGTTTTTTCTTTCTTTCTTTTTTTCTTATTCAACACGCTTTCCTACAGATACAATGTATTTGTTTTTCAGTGGAAATTGAAGACCTTATCCTTAAGGCATCTGCTCTGATGGATAAAACCATATTCCTTTTCACCCTGCCTGATTCAGCTCAGTTACACAGGGTTTCAATTCAGACTTATAGGACATTTTTCTTGTTTCCTCCTCACGCTTCCTACCTTAAGGATTTGATTGCAGTTGTAGAAGACTTTGGCCGTGAAGAGCAAACAGTTTAGAACACTTTGTGTTTGTGAATTTGGTTTTCTCAAGATAGTAGGTCTTGCAGCCATGATGACTGCAGCCATCTTCTTGCTCTAACAGTTTCAGTCGTGATGATGGTGGTAAAAAGTACAAGGACAGAAGTGCAGTACTGCTAACGTAAATTTTTGACTGTGTAGAATGATGGATTCTGATTTGAGTATATATCATGAGGAAAAATAACTAGTCTAAGGAGATAAGGTAACAAAGTTTTTTAGTAGTTTTTTACTGGCTGATAATTATTCTGAATATGGTGGAATTGTTGCTGTTCGGGCAAGCAAATTGGTAGGAAAAATGTATGAAATAGAATTAAAAGCATCGTACAAGCATCCTGCAATTGTGGATTGTATTCTGAACAGAAAGGAAGGAGTCTCACTGTTTGTATCTGCTAAGCGGTCTTTGCTTCCCATTTATGGATATTGTCACATAAGCAACATATTAGCTGGTCTGGACGTTTACTGCTGAGAGTGTACTGCAAGCACTGGGAATTCCGGACATCTCTTCAAGATAAGATAGGCATATGATGCAGTAAAACTCAAGAGTTAAAGTTGGAGCAGATTTTTTTTTTTACTTTTAGAGAGTGTTATCTTCACATGACTACCTATATACCCTGTTTTTCATACCCTCCACCTTGTACAGCATAAAATACTGGATGTTTCCAAGCCAGTGTAAATGCATTCTGCAATTGAAAATATTGTAGAACTAGTTGGTTTTTAGAGTTCACTCCCATACACAATGGACATCTGGATCTATAGAGTTCACTCCCTTTATACAATAGGTATCTATTTCATATGTTAAGCTTTAGTATGTTCTAAATCTCTTAGCCTCTTTACTTTCTGTTCCTTATACCTGTGTGCCTTTCTTTTTCCTTTAGTTTTTGCTCCAGTGTGAAAGTGGAAGTGAAAAAGGAACTTTCAACAGATGCTCAAAAGACAGCATGTTAACAAGAGAAGCTGTCTGCTCAACTCCACAGATGTGACAATTACCAAAATTCCCTAAGTCTTGTCACACACACAGGCATTTTCAGTACCTTATCCCCAACTATTTACCGACATTACTAGCGTTATTTCATACATCATACAGACTGCTCTATTTATGTAGAAAGGGAATACTTATCTAAGCAGACAGATACCAGTACAGTTTGCATGCACACAAATCTGAATTGCTTCCTTACCTCCAGGTTTGATGTAGAAGCAGTTGAGCTGAGTTTCATGCACCAGCTTCCCCTTGTACTTCGTTTCAGATTCCCCTTGCTGGTGGCTGGATAGCGGTTGGTATGCTTGCCGAACAAAGGCTTGAAACATGTTTCAAAATTCCAAGAAGCGTTGAAACCACTGAGTTGAATATATTTTCCCAATATAAAGGAGGTAAATTTCTTTTAGACGATTGTTTCCTAATGCAGTTATTGTATGTAATAGCCTTGCGCAGAACTTAAAAACCAAAAACCGGAGCTACTGACAACTTGGTCCTTTCATCTAAAAACTACTTTTTAGCTCTCTGAAGCCTCCACAATATCTATCTTGCTCTTCCTTTCCTTGCTCCTCACTCCTAATCCTTTTCTTGTATTGAGTTCCTTATGTTCTGTTGGTGCCTTCTCTCCCCTTGCAGTTTTTCAGGAAAACTTTTTCAGGACTGAGAAGTGGAGATAATGGGCGCCATCCACCCGTCAGCTCGTCACCTCACTGAGCCATGGCGATCTCTGGTTTCTGTATATCAGCACGGACTTCTCTGATAATATCCTCTTGTGTTTGAAAAAAATAGGTTTGTCTAGCAAGGGGTGGACTTCAGTCCTGACATAGCCAGAAAACTTCTCTTGGAATGTGAGCTTGCTCACTCTCGCTCTTTTATGTGTGTGTGTGTATATATAAAAATATTTGTAACCTTCTCTCAAAACACAAAAGATAAATATAGGAACAAGTGTATCCCACAGTGCATATACAAGCTGCCCACTTCTGTCTATTACTGATTTAATACAAGCTCTTGAGTGCCTCATCAGCTCGGTCTTCGTCAAAACAAGCCTTAAATCAGAAATAAGCAATATTCTTCAATTGCAGGAGGAGAAAAAGAAATCCTTTGCAAGTATAAGATAGCATACCCTTTAAAGGACAAGGAATGTGTTACATACAGAAAGCCGGTGTTACTGTTCCAGTGGAATTCCACTAAGGCTGCAAACGCAATGCTGCTTTTTTGTCTCAAGTGGCATACAAACTACTAAGTGTGTTGGAATTAGTATTTGGTATCTGCTCTACTTTAACGATTATGGTTGCAGTTCCTTTGTTATTTTGCAGTGCAGAACTTGTTGTGGTAAAATTTGATAAAATATTAAATCTCAATGGAGTAAAATATTTTTTTAGTCAGTCTTCACCAAAAATGTGGCTTGTACCTGCTGGCTTCATTATTTTGGTTGAATGTACTCCTAAGCCTTTTAGAGCCTCTTCCAGTAATCCTTTTGCATAGCAGAGAGATTATTTATATGAATAAAAGCAGCCAGAGATCCTGTAGCCAGGAAGAAAAAAAAAGTGATGCAAGACACATGCTTTGGGTCAGAAGTCAACAACAGAGGAACTATAAAGGTTCTTCCTGTGAATCATCTGGTGCTGCTCATTGTCTTAGACAGGATATAGATTTTAAGTTTGATGAATTCCACCAATTTTTTTCTCTCTGCCAAACAAACTGTCTTTCTGTAAAATTTCAGGTTTATTTGCTTTTCGACATACAGTACTAAATCCTCTGCACAGGAATGCGTAGCATCTCTTACTAGACAGGTTTTTGTAATTAGAAAAGAACTAATAGTATATTTTTATTTAAAGTATGGTACCTGCTTGCAGAGCTTTATTTCTTTTTTAATTGACATCTCTTTACTTTTGTGGTATTTTTATGTTTTTCCTGGCTTCTCTCTCGTTAACATTTTGTATGTCTTTGTTGTACAGAAAACAAAGTTAAGGTTTCGATGGATGCTAAGAATTAAAAGCAGGAGGGGATAGAATGGGGAAGCAAAAGATGATTATGAATGTTTTATTTCAAAAGGACCGTGCATGTGATGTAATACTTCTGAAGCAAAGTCAAATGATGCACTTTCACTTTCTGTATGAAAATATGCCGTTGCTGTAATGAAAATCACCCAGTGCACAACTGCAGTTTTTAATCTGAATGGAAACGTACCTCTAAATTCCATACTCAGCTACTCATAAATTGTAGGGTATATACCCCAGTGCTGCTTCAGTATTTTGAAATCTCTACCTGCTAATATAAAATTAATTTGATAATTTGTGATGCTTTCACCTGTTGGACTACATGCTTAAAACAAGAGCATTTTAACAGTTTAAATTATTTTTGTCGTAACAAACTGATCTCAGAGGTATGTTCTTGTTTTTCCCACTGTACAAGAACCCACACTTGTGTTGGAAGAAAGTAGAAAGGTCACTGGATTGCTATGGTAATCTGAACAATTAACTTCAGTAGTTAGAATTGTTTTTAAAAGGTGTGCATGTATTTGGTAAAATAAAGAAGCAATGAGGTAGTTCAGGGAGATGGCATTTGTGTCTTTATGAAAGAAACTATGCACTTGCAACTTTCACAAAAAATAGGTCATAAGGTATGCTTTAAACTTTCTCTTTTTTTTTTTATTAAAATCCAAATGATAAGATGTAATGATCCTTCCATTTTGAACAAATAAAAATGCAGCGGTCATATGTGAGTGATAAATGCTACGAGGTGCAGATGTCTATTGAAGCCTAACCTGAAAGTACAGCCTGCTCACAAGTTCTGACACAGTAAAGCCATTTACTACTAGACAAAGTATTAAGTACATTCTAGTTGTGGTAGGTAAATGGCTTTACTGTGTCAGTTGAACTATATTGTGTTTTCTAAAAATCAGATATATTTAAAAATTTGTAACAGCAATACAGAAAAAAGGTGTTATTTCAGTCAGTGTCACAGCTGACTAAAGCAAAACGAATTGTGACAGAGAAATAGAGACTATTAATGTGTTGAATATAACATGTTAACAGGCCGTGAAAAATCAGCAAAAGCAAATATTTAAGAGATGCTGTAAATATGAATATTTGGGATGTCAGAAAGAGTAGTTCACTTTATAGTTACTTATTTCTAAATGGTTTTTGTATTTCAGAAATGAAGAGATAGTGTAGGAAAAATGAGGAAGTTGCTTGCTCCTAAAATGGTGGCATGTACAAAATGTACAAATGAGAAGATGAATTTTAAAAAGAAACTTGGCTGTATTATGATATTTTTAGATGTCAATTGTTACAAGAACAAAGGTGTGTATATATTCAAGCAGTTTAGACTTTTGTTGTTGCAAATTAACATTTTAAAATCTTTCAGGTTAGCAAATATATTTTCAGTCATTTGGGGTCATCAATCTGATTAATAGTATATACTCAGGCTTCAGGGAAAAGAAATGATATGCTATTGAACACCTTTTTAAAGTTTAAATATTCTTTGTTCTTTTTTATTGAGGGGAAAAAAAAATATATATATATATATATAAATGACATCAGCATAGTTTGGAAAGCGACTTGCCCTTGAACTTGACTGTAGCTCTGGAAATAAAGATTTACTTTGTCCCGTGGCAGGTACATCAGAGATGCACATTGGAAACGTATTCCTCTATTTGACTAAATCATAAATGAATATTCAAATCCATCTGTGTCCTCTGCCACACCACAGTGTGTGTTATTTACAGTGGAGAAAGCTTTATTGTAACAGGACTGAGTCCCTGGATACTCAACAGCAGTTGCTGCTTTCCTTAACCTAGTGCAAAGCGGGATGGAAATATAAAGACAAGACATTGAAAAGGCAAGGGCAAAACTCCTTTGTATTCTCTGAAATATAAACAAGCTTTCTTCTGGATGGAAAAGCAATGTCGTAACCTTCTTGATTGGAGAGTGTTCTCATTGCTCTTAGCTACTGCTGGGCATGATTCTGTACAAAGAGTCAAGAGGAGAGCCTAATTTCTAGTTTCTTCTCTTTTACTTGTGGTGATGATATGTTACTGTAAGCTTTTCTGCTCATAGAAGTTATAGATATATATTTAGCGTGGATTTGTGTAATTGCATTTTGTGTTCTGTTCTGATCGTTCATGTAGATGAGGGTCTGACTTCATTTCGGTGTGCACTGAAGACCTTTTTAATGATTTGTAGCCTAGATAATAGGGCACTGCTGAGCTAGTGGAAGTCGTAGTTTTAGATGTTGAGGAGTTAAACTTCTTTTCAACTAAGCTGTCCTCTGGTGAGATTCTTTTTTTCACAGGAAGGTTGCTTTTGTTGATTTAGAATTTTGGGACTGACTTTTTAGCCTTGCGAAAGACTTCTTTGCTTAATTTTTCAAAGTCAGTGTCTATCATATTTCTGTATCAAAAACAGAATGATAATTTCTCCCACCATGTGTTTGTCTTAACATGGTGCATCTTTGCATAGTGTATATGCTCCTTGAATGAGACTCTGTAATTATTTCCATTACAAAAAGCAGTGGAGCTCCGTTCCCTTCGATGTTTCAGAAGTCTATTGTGAAGAAGTAATGCAAACCACTTGTTGCTGAAGAGCAATTTATAAGAACAATAAAGGATTTATTAAGAACAACTTCTTATTTAAGAAATTGATAGCCTGGCCCCTAGAGACAGACTTCCTGCCTCAATTTCAGTGTCGTGAATCATCATGATTTAAAAATTACTTGGAAATGATGTTGCAATGACAGAGGATACGAGTGGAAAAAAAGTGCGCTGGGCCAGATGGATCATAACGTAGATTCTATTCCTGTGTCATGACCAAAATAAGTTGTTGCATCATAAGAACACAATTTTAAGGTAAATGTTGCAAATTGAGTTTGGGATCTTTTTCAAACAGTAAAGAAGCTGCTGATGAACTCTTGCATCTGCTGAGCTTTATGGGAATAAATGGAGCATTGGGATTTAAAGTTTCCTACAAAGCTAGCATAATTTTAGTTTTGAAACTATTTAACAGACATTCTTTTGATTTCTACAGTCGATGGGGGTTTTTGGTTAGTTTTTGTTTTGTATTGTTTTGCTTTCTTTTATTTTCCAATATATTTGATTGAAAATCTGCCTGAAGTCAGGCTGTCTCCATAGATTAGAGCAGACATGATTTTATAACCATCAGAATATTTTGTGGCACTATATCTGGACATCTATGAGTTGGTCAGCCAAATTGCATGACTGGTGGAAGGTTATAGGAATATTTAAAAGTCCATTTTTTAAAAAAAAAAAAAGTGTTTAAGGTATAAGCAGACAATGGTTGGGAACCTGTTCTTGACTTTTAGTGTTACCAGTCACTCTCCATTCTCTAACCAACTGTCCTGGTTCTGTCCCTCCCAGCTTTTCTGCTCCCCAGCCCCCTTGCTAGCAGGACTATCTTATCAACAGTTATAAATATCTAATGGTCAGGAGTCAAGTGGATGAGGCCAGGCTCTTTTCAGTGATGCCCAGCGACAGAGCAGGGGGCAATGGGCACAAACTGGAATACTGGAAGTTCCATCTGAACACAAGGGAATACTTATTTTGAGGGTGACAGAGCACTGGAACAGGCTGCTCAGAGAGGTTGTGGAGTCTCCTCTGAAGATATTCAAAACCCACCTGGACATTTTCCTTTGGAACCTGTTGTAAGGAACATGAATTAGCAGGGGGTTGGACTGATTATCTCGAGAGGTCGCTTCCAACCTTTGTAATTCTGTGAAACATTGGGTTTGCACAGCAAATACCATTCCTTTCCTTGACTGTATAAAAGTCACCCAGATTATGGAACCAGGGACATTATCAGCTTTTAAATGAAAGAGCAAGCGTTCAGTACTTTGACAGATATGTTTCTTTTCCCCAGTTTTTTAGGAACTGAAGTTAAGCTCATATCAAAACACAGTTTTATGTTGATTGAAAATTCTTGTACTGCTTCAATTTCTTGGCATTTCTGTGCTTAGGATGCCATGAAAACGTTGATTTCTGAGAATTTCCAGAAACAACAAGATAAATCTAATCTCTATTTCCAGTGTTAAGTAACAAAGGCATTTGTTTTATTTATGTTTATTTATATTTACTGCTTTCTACAGCAGAAAGAAAGGAGACCTGAGGGGTGTGATCCTGTTTATATGCCACATCATTATGTTGTTTTTTTTTTTTCTTAGTATTTTGTTCAAGCTAAACAAAACGTTGCATTCAAAAAGCTGCAAAACTGAACTCTCCCAAACTAACAGATGCCAAAGTTAAGGTTGTTGGTGCAATCTCCCTTTTTTACTCACGGAATTTTAAATTCTATGATCATAATCTTCTGCAGTAAAGACTTGCTTCAGTCACTGAGCAGTCTGAACAATGTTCATGTGGAGTGGCTACTCAGAATTCTGTTTTTTCTTCATTACTTACACGTGGGCTTCTTGCTTTATCGTCTGCTGTGGAAGTTCTGTAGCAGGGACAGAACTATTGGTTGTTTTTCTTTTGCTGTTGTCTGTGACACTCATCAATATAATAGCTGATAACTTGTTGCACTTTGATGGATTAGAAGTATTATTTTTTCTATTTTACAATTGGGATCATGGGGCGTAGTGGTTAAAATCACAGAGATCCATTGAATGCACTGTGTGACTTTAAATTATTCTGGTGCAATTTTTCCAATATATTTATCATTCATATGTTCAAAACCGCTTCCTACAGACTTCAGCTGCGTTTGTAAGTAGCTGGCGTTTTTGCAGGTCGTGCCCTCAGATCTTACACTCAGGTTTAGGATTTCACATCAAGAACTGAATGTGAAGCATACACGCTCAGTGACAGCCACTTATGATGACATTTCACAACTTGTGTACCATTGCATAATGTCTGAGGGATGGCGTCAGAGATGGTATTCAGCTTTCAGAGACAGAGTGCAGCTGACTTAACTGCAGATATTTTAAACCCTCTTTCCTTTGTTGCAATCCTGTTTTGCTTTATCCTGTGGAGCAGGATGTTGAGCTTGAGTGGGCCAAGACTCCTGTACTTGATCCTGAGCAAAGTGCATTGAACATCATGTGGCTATATAGTAATCTTAAATACTCTATTGCAGGTAAAGGGATTGCATTTGCCTTAGAGTAAAATGTCTTAAGTCACGTTTTAAGTTAGGAACTCATTGATTGTATGACCTACAGTTGGGTCTTTTTTGCAGTAGGTCTGGCAAAATTGATGATGCAATATTTGAGTATGTACTAGAAGAAGAAATCTACCTTTTTAAAATTCAGAAATTCTGAAGATCAATATTCCTTAATTTTAATTATGCTTTCAATTGGATAATTTAAGTAACCTATTTATTCTAGTTCAATATTAACTGTATTTTGTTGATTTGATAGCTGTATTGTATCTTTCTAGTACTACTAAATCTTGTTAACAGTGTTACAACTTTGGTGCCTCTTTTCCCCTTTCTGTAATCAATTCATTATTAAATCTCTTTTCTTTTAGTAAATCAAATGAGTTGGTAGCTGTTGAATGTGGATGACTAAATGTATGCCATCTTGTCACTATAAAAGTCTCTTTTTATTGGTCTTTTGTTAGCTATTTTTAACGTGGCTTTCCCACTTGGGGAACAAAAGATACTTGATTTTGATTTGTCCTTTCTTTGTTTTTTATGGTACTCTCTTCCTTGATAACTTGATAGCTGAAGCTGGGCCTAAAAATGACATAATATTTCTTCTTTTATGCTGCAGTGGAAGACTCTGCTTTGTACCTCTACCATTTAATGATTCACTGTTAAGATGTGAATGTTTTAGCAAAATTACCATTACCACTCTACAGATTATATTTAGGTCTGGATTTCTGTTTTTTCAACAGTCTGATAAGACGGAGGGTGAATAAGAAAATAATCTCGTTAGTTTTAATCCCAATGAAACAGTGCTTTCATGCTGGTAGAAAGCCTGCAGTGAAATTTGCACTGTATGTCTGTTTATCTTTTTTGTTAGTGGAGAGCATTCCAGGTTCCTAGCTTGACAGTTGCAGTTTGTAATCATCTCAGTTTCTTTTGCTAGTCATGGATTTTCACGCGTTGTCATACATAAAAGAAAAGCTTGCCATTTTGTGTTCATCACTAATGAGGAACGTGATCATCAGAAGATGTTTTTTACTTCTTTCATTTCCATTTTTGTTTCTGTAAGTACGGCGGGATGAATTGTATGAATTTACATCATGGTTAGCTAAGGTGATGAGCAGCCAGTATGAAAACATGAGTTAGCATATTTGGGGTACATGGTATCTCAGATCACCAGCGAAGTATTGTCTCCTCACTGGTACATTGTTCTCCCATGCGTGAAAGCATTTAGAGTACACTGTGCTGCAACAAATGGAGCACCTGCATGATTCTTTCTCAGTGTACTTCTGAAGTATTCATCTGTTCTGTCTGGACTGATGGAGCAAGTGTGGAAGGGAGAAAAAGAGGATTCCCTGCTTCTGGAAGATCTTGCTGCTGAATGGGAAAGTTGTATGCTCAGCAGATGTGGGTTTTCTGTCTCAAGATTCTACCAGCTGTGCTTCTTTGTCTGGGTTGCAAGTACCTTTTGATTGAGGTGAGAAATCATGTGTGCCTTTGTGTGTATACCGGTACGGAGGGGATGATATTCTGCATCAAGAGTGATTCGATGGTGAAGGCGGGTATATGTATCTGCTATATACTGGCTTTAAGCTTGGCTTAAAATGTGATTTATTGTTGCATTGGTGGCTTGCTTTGGTGGGCCACTTTAGTGATAATTAGTATCCTTGTGCTGTAATCTGAAATGGTTGTGCATTTGTATGAGTCGCATTTCAAACTATTAGCTGTCACTCTATAAAATCTGAAGGACCGTTACTTAGGTGTAGTCAGACAGTTCACTTGTGTTGGTCTCCAAATTGAGATAAACCAGCTTGTGTCTGCTGTTGGTTCCAGCCTTTAAACTTGTAATGACCAGAAGTACTGCAGTATTTCTGCAGGACTGACAGGTTTCAATTTTATCAAATATTCATAAATAGCCTCTGACATATTTGGTCAACTGGCCAAAAACTGAAGCTGTTCAACCTATCTCGCACATTCAGTGATGTTTTATCAGTACTGTTCTACACTGGAGATTCTCTTATAACAAAGAAGAATCTTGATTAATTAAAAGGATTTTGACTTGTCAAAGTACAACACTGTTGCACCGAATTTTATGGCTGTGGTATGGACAACACTAAAAGATCATAAAATATTCCAGTATGTTGAGTTAGAAGGATGTGTAGTTTTGCATTACAGGACAGTATATTGCTAATTATTCACATATTTTTCTACAGTAAAGTAGATGGTATTGTTAAATTATTGATGGTATATGTAAAAATAATAATGTCTATTTTAAAGGCATATTGATATTAATGTCCATGTTACAAACAGGTAGTGATCTAGATACTTCAGCTCGTATGTTGGGCATTTGTATGTGGATCTTAGAACCACCGAGGCATATTGTTACCTGTGATTTTTATGGTGAATAACAGAAATCATGATCAAACTTCTGAAAATTTAGCCATGAAAAGGACTATATATATTATAGGAGGTACTTATTGTCTGTCTACAGGATAGCTTTTTAAATGCTTTTCACCACTTTTTTTTTCTGTATTAAATAGTTGAATTATTTTTGGCTGTATCAAAGACAACACGTGGCTGAAAATTAGAGGGGAAATGGTGATAAGTACTACACTTCTGTCTTGCAAACAGCTGCACATGCAGTTTCTTTTCAAATGTTAACAAAGCTAACTTATACTTTATATGTCATGGGTTTGTTCTTTGGAACTGCAGGAGCGAATGCTTTTGTATTCCTCTGATGCAAGGAAATATTCCATGATCAGTGTTGGTGTTGTAATTCTTTTTAAACAGATACTCTATCCACTTCCTCTCCTTGCAAATAGAATCTAGCCCCTAATGTGTTGGAAGGCATGCTAGAAATTGCCTTATCTTACATTAAAGGAAGCTTTTGCTACAGTATAGTAGGAGGGGAAGAAGGAGAGAAACAGGGTGGTTATCTATTTGCTACCTTCTCCTATAAGGAGAATGTATATGTTTCACAAGGTCACAGAGGGATTGCAGGATACAGAAGGTCTGTGTTTACCCTGTAGGTAAGATAGGCTTTTCCTATCCCTTCTCTCAGCAAATTTGTATCTGAGGTTAAAATTGAAAAATATGGATGGATCGTTCACGAGAATGTGACTGGACAATGTTACACATTTATTCCCAGGCTAACAGGAACTGTATAATAAGGTGGTGGGTGGAAAAAGCTCTTTGTTTATGGTGATTGTGAAAGCTGCACTAGCTACAGCTCCATTATGGCTATTACCACGATAGTGGTTAAGTAGAGTGTACATGGGAGAATTTTGAACTGTTAGTACACATAAATCTTGTTGCTGGACAAAGCTGCAGGCACTAACTTTTGTAGAAGTCAGAATCAGAAGTCTGAATTTAGATAAAGGTTTTCTAATCCTGATGTTAGATACAGATAATAACTTATGGGGGTTAAACGAGTTGATAGAATTACAGGAAATCCACGAGGAAGTAGAGATGTGTTCATACTACCATAACAACTTTGGCGGTATATGAGATAAGCCCCATGATTGCTGAAAACTGAACACGTCTTGCATATATGTCTGTGCATCACTTCCTGCAGTACTTAGCCCCTGGGATCTAATCGTTATGATATCACAACTGGGAAATTCAATGAGGACAAGTCATTAAGGGGAAAAATGACAAGCCTCTGTTTTAGTGTTTTGAAGAAAAGGATCAGAGGTACCTTTGCCTGCAGCCAGGGTTCAAGAACTTGTAATGTACATTCTGAGGTACACCTTTCAATCCTTTTTGATTTTGCTGGAGAATTTGAGGTGTCATTTTTATAGAAGGGGAAATAAAGAAATAAAAACTAAAACTTACAGGTCACAAGCCTGTATGTTTAGGTATCTAGCAGGCAGAACTGCTATCAGGTAGAAATGCTGTTTGAGAAGATGCTCATAGTTTGTGTTTGATGTGCATTTGCAGTGTCCATATATGGGATTTGGTTTTATGATAAGGAAGAATGCCAAAGAATTGCAGAGCTCATGAAAAAGTAAGTGACGGGTAAACAAGACTTTGTGCTTTTTTTTATGTATGTATTTCTGTACATACATGCACATTATATTACTAGGATGGCTGTATCTTTCTACTTAAAACCTGCTCGTATAGAATTTGTTGCAAGTAAAATTGTCTCACACCTGCATTTTATATATTCAGAAATAATTGCAGGACTTTTTCCATAATTTGCAATGCAGGTTTCTAGCTACATCAAAGTGTAAAATTTCATCTGAATTGTTTCTTGATAATTCAGAGATCTGTTTTATACAGTTGTATTCGTTGGGAGGCGTTAATGCGTTTCTCAGTTTGGGTAGCTTTCCTTCTTATATCAGTGTAAGTATGGAATATCATGAAGGAATGCTGCAATAATACAGTTTGTTGTTTTTATCCTTTTTCTACATCATGGTTGATTTCTTCTTTCTTTCTTTCTTTCTTACCAGTATGTAAAGAATCCACTCTGGTTTAGGATTATAAAGAAAGGCTTTAATTAGCTTTGAATTCATAACTCTTCTATACATATTAAAAATATTTTATGTTACACAGCCTTAATACTGCAATGAAATGGGAGATCAGAATTATGTACAAAACTGTATTAAGCTTACAACATAATGGATAGCTTTTTAACTAACAACATAGTGGCTATTTTAGTCACTGTCACTGCTTTTTCTATTTGTCCAGGATTGACGGTTCTCATTCTGTTTTTCCCTCTGCTTGATCTAATGACTGCCTTGTTTGCAATGATTCCTTTCTTAAGACTACTTTCTACAGGTTTTCATGCTTGCTTGGAAGAGGAAGGAGCTGAAATCCTACAGATTTTATCAACGTATATAATCTGCTTTTTCTTTTTTTTTTTTTTTTTTTTTTTAGAGGCATAATGTGGAGTATATGTAGGAAAGGGACACTTTAGATACTAGTTGTCTGTGGTATAGAGGGTTGGGCTTACCATTGTGTCACAGTTCATGTAAGGGAGAGGAAGAGGAATGATTTAGAGGTCAGTCCTTGTCATCACAGAAAAGCCATGAGAAACTGATAGAGTCAAGCCAACATCATTAGATACTAACAGGGTGCAGTGTGAAAGCATAGTCAGAGCTGTGAATCTTTCCTTTTCATGTCATCTATACCAATCTTAACAGCCTGGTTAGCAAACGTGTTTCTGTAGCCGGAAGCATGCTGAAGAAGTGACATCAATTCTGATTGCCAAAGTATCAAGTGCCCATTTTCATGTCCTACGATTCAAGTCCAAACAAGGACTCATCTTGTTGCAAGGATGTGCTCATCGTTGCACATCTCAATCCACAGCAAAGTGCGTTGATTCTTCTGCCACTGTGTTTCAGATTGGACTTGTTCCAAAATACTGGATGGGAAGTTAGTCATGTTTCCCCTATATCTCTTTTTAAAGAACTGCCTGCTGCTTTACATTTTGCAGTGACAAAACATTGTTAAACACTGACTGTAACAGTGGTGGGGTTTTGTTTGGGTTTTTTTGCTTTTGCTCTACGTTCTGCAGCTCTAAACTGACTTGGTTATGACCCAAGGAATAATTGATGGGGATGAATTTCCAGAAATAAGCAGTGAACCCTAGGAAACCCATTTTTTTGACAGCTAATTTTAGTTAACTAGCTCAAGCTTCAGTTGGTGGTGATTAGGTACTCTCAAACTGGTAATTTACCACAATAAAAACTAGTTTGCAGAGAATTCATGCTATTGTAAACCACGTGTAGTGGTTTATAATAGTGGTGTTGCACATAGATTAAAAAAAAAAAAATACCTGTCATTCAGCCAATTGGCTGTGTGTTTTAATTCTCAGCATTCTACAATAATAATAAAACAGCTGGGGCAGGAAATTGGTCATTTGCTGGTAGTTAATGACTGATTTGCTTGTGTTTGCCATCCTTTATCACCAGGAGAACTGAATAACGTTATATGTTCCCTGCTCCTTCTGGGTATGGAAATTGTGACTGAGTTATGGAAATTTTAGGGTATGACCTAGTCTATTCAAGATTGAAGAAAATGTTTCTTGCACCTGGTCAAATTATGCTTTATTATAGATATCTAAATAGAGATTTTTAACTGTATTGTTATGTAGTTTGGGAGGTGGGGGAATTAAAATACTTTTTTTAAATTCTTGTAAAGTAGTTGTAGTGAAACTTCTTATATTTTACCTGTTTTTGTCTTGTGTATTCTCCTCTCACCTCCTGTTTTCAGCCTAACTCAGCAAGAGCAATTGAAAGCACAGCAGGCCACAGGAACAGGAGTGTCCCCTATGGTCACGAATTCTGCTAATAACAAAGAAGTGGATATCTTACGGATGCTTACCAAGGCCAAAGATGAGTACACTAAGGTGAGATTTGCTATCTCTAAGATCTCAGCTTTTGTTTTTTGGTGATACTGCATTGCTAATTTGCTCAAACTTTACATTTTAAAACTTTTTATTCTGTAAACTAATTTTACTTGAAGTTAAACTGATTTTTTTTGACAGAATGCTCTGTTGTTTTGTGGAAGTATGTATGTTTTGTCAGAGTTTTCTAAAGATTGGAAAGAACTGAATTCTGTCAGTAACTCCTGAAAGGAGAACATGAATGAGATTTGATTATTTGATGAATGCTAGGGTGTAAGAGCAAGACCTTGTGCTTTCAGTACCTGAAATTTGTGTCCCCTTTTTAGGGTGAAATATTCAAAACTGCTAATAGATTCTGTGATTTGCACAAATGATTTACCTTAGGGAAAGCCTTCAACGTTGAACTTACTGCCTTTAGCTGCAGTTGTTGTCTATCTTCGACGCTACTGGAAGTAAATGAAAAGGTTGAAATCTAGTGTGATCCCATATGCTGCATTGGTCTTCTGAGGCTTCTAAACCACAAAGTAACTAATGGACTAATAATGTTCTCTGTTATTGGATAATCAAAAATGTCTTACTTTAGGGAATAAAGATTTAATAATTTTAACTATTCATATATATGCTGCAAATTGTTTCAGAGCCTGCTATTTCAAGTATTTCATGTGTATTGCCATGCAGTAATAAAGGTCATTACGTAAGTGCTCAGAGTCTAAAAATATGTATGTTTTAAACATAAGCATAACAAAAAAAAAAGTTCACTTTCTGAAATATGACATATTGTCCTCAAATAATAACCATTTGAGTTATGGTAATGTCTGTGTCTTTTTTATGTTGGTATAGTTTACTTTGAAACTGGGATCTCTTTTGTCTGTAATAAGGATTTAATGTATTAATAGTCAACAAACGCTTCCAGCTCCTGGTATCTTTTATTATTTTTAAACTGGATTGGCATCTAGTCTTGGAATAAAAGGGATTTGATTACTTAAATGTTTCATAATATAATTTTACTAAATGCCTTAAAAATGGAAAGCCTGAAAAATATTAGATTGTCATTGGATACTATGAGAAGGATGTAGTACATGTTTTAAAAGTTACCTTTCACTTCTACATGAACACACAGCAAATCAAGATCAAGGAAAGGAAATTCTAGATCTGTGTTTTATAGTTTCTTGATTTTATTTAATTTTTTTCTGCAGCTAAGATCTTTACCAGATTTGCATCTTACTTCATCTTTAATCTTTCTGCTGATAGGGAAATAACATGAAAACTTTTCCACCTGGGACATTTTGAGTACTATTATCTGACTTCTTATGAACTGTGTGCTTTTTCTTGCTTGGTTGGTAACACAGAATTAGGAAGGGCATGAAAGATAAAGGCAATGACAGCTATTGTTGTATTTTATGTCAATATGCTCCATAGCAATTGTCCTTTGCAGCTCCTCATGACATTTACTTCCCTGTTGACGTATGTCTTAAAGTTTACAATGCTAACATGCTGAGATGAGTTATGAATTATGCTGTTCTTTCTGAATTCCATTTGATTTCAGAAAATAAGGTGCTTTAAATTGTTGTGAGTCTCAAGATAAGAATATCATTTTTTTCCAAGCATCTAAGGAATTCTACTTAATTTTTAAATCCTAGGATTTTATTTTTAAAATCTGATGAGAAGTATTTTTAGGAGGCCTAATCATGATAGCTAGGAAGATAAACAGTTGAAGAGCTGCTAGGATACAGAAAAAGTACACCAAAACGTGTTGCTCCTTAACCATTGTGCCTTGCCTTGTACTGTAGTGATTTTTAGCTCTGTGCTACCCTGTTCCTTGATTGCATTCACCCATTTAATTCACTGTCCTTTGATCTGTTAGATGTCAGATGAGGTGCACAAGCTTTGTCTGGTTGATGTGACCAGAATAACTGGAGCTTCGCTCTTCATTACTGAGGACACAAATGTTTGATAAGAACATCTTGTCTGGTAGTGAGCAGAGGCTTCTTGGTATTTATTTCTGTTGATTGCTTCTTCACTGTCTTTGATCAAAATACTCCAGTGATACTGCCCTGTTTGAACAGAAATAGAGTTTTCAGTTGTCCTAATAGTTTGTGGTTTGTTAGCAGTATGAAAGACTTGATAGTAGCTCATCACCTCCCCAGAAGGCCTGTCCTTCCTAGGGACATAGTGCTATACTCAGGCTGGATGATGCAAACTGTATGCTTCTAATCTTGAATGGTCTGAGTGGGGTGTGAATGTCTTGCTTAAGGAGGGCTCTGTCTGAATATCCTTGTTGCTGCTTCTCTCTTTAAAGACTGTTCTTGTCCTCCAGCTTTTCTTTTCTGCAGAGCACCTTGCGCATTTTCGTGTGTCTGCTCACTAATATCTTCTTGTGGTTGCTTTACGTCAGCTAGACATTTCCAGGGATTCTCCACATTTAAGTTTGTGAAGCTTCAAAGTTCTCTGTTGCTTTCTGTGTAGCTGACCTACATAGCTCTACTAAATCCCATCAAATCCTGGCTGAGAGTTTTTTTCTGATATCAAGCCTTCTTGCATCTTGTTTTTGTACTTGAGAGGTCTTTGCAGCTTGTTTCTCAGTCAGATTTCAGCTACAGACCATGAGATGATGATGTGACATGGCGTTTGCTTCTGGACAGCTGCACTGCTTATGGTACCGTGCTTGACCATTCCCTGATTTCTTCTGGCAATGTCCTGTTCAGCTTGAGCCTCATATTGCACAGGCAGACTATGAAATCTTTTCACAGAGAGCAGTTGTTTCGTGTAGTCAGAGACGTTTAAGACAAACCTGCCTAAGACACCCTCAGTGAATATCTTTATTCTTTTTGATCAGTGTTTTCCTTTTTTTCTAATGCTGCTTGGTCTTCAGCTTGATCTTAGAACTTTTGAATTGCGTTCACATTTCTTGTAGGGGCATAGCTTTGAACAAGACACATGATTACAGGACTGACCTCTGAAGCAAGATGTAGTAATCACGAAGTACTGTAGCACATCATTACTCTGCTGGTTCTAACGCTAAAGAGTATGTTGACATTTCTATGAAAGCTGCTTTTTGCTGTTTGATGATGATGGGAGATTGTATCTTTTTACCTATCCACCAAACAGGGGCTTAAGTGTCAGGATGGTGTTCCTAATTTACTCATCAGCTAGGCCGTGCTGTCAGTGTGCGAAAGTGACCTTATATTCTGAGCTTCAGTAGTAGAAATCAGCACAAGGCTTTTCTTCGTCAGTATGTACTCCTGTATTGGATACCAGCCTGCTAGCCGTGTTATCAAATCATGAAAACTATACCAAGTCAAAAGTAAAAGTCATCCACAGTAGACCTCTGTATATGCTGCTATAGTTTATGTTTTCATTTTGCTGATGAATAGCATCTAAAAAAATGCTCTTACACTGGCAAGAGCACTCCTACTTCTCATTTGTAAGCACTTAGTTTTGATGCTATGTAGGCTATGGCAGTGCTATCTAAGGTACTCACTATTTCCGAAGAATTCAGCTTATTAAAATACCCTGGAGAAATAAGGGCCTACTGCATTTATTGAAAGTCTGCAGAACTCATTATGAAATATACAAGACTATGTCATACGTCGTGTTGAAGAAGTTTATGTAGATGCTTATGTGTTTTCCCCTAAAAACCTGTGCTGAAAAATAGCAGTGAGGAGGCATGTTGAAGAAAAGGCAGCATACTGTAGAAAGAGCAGTCTGGGAGAGAAGAGATATTTAATCTTACTGAAGTGTGTGTTTGTTCTGTATAACATCATAACGGGTTAGGATATGTCCAAACAAAAAAAAAATAAAAAGGGAATGATATCCACCTGTTTTAGTGTAGGTCAAATTAGTGGCTACAGGAATCAGTTACTTGAACTATCAAAATGTTTTAATCTGCTAATTAGTAGGTAGGATATTTAATTGTCATTAAGTGAACAAGTGACAACAAAAGTCACTGGTCAGAAATTGACTGAGAAGGTGAAGTTACAAAGTGATTTAAGAATAATTCAGTCATGTGTCTTCGTGTGCTTAAAAACGATTCCTCAAATGCAAGGATAACAATGTGTCAGCTGAAAAGAATCTATGAAAATAATTTCTTTGAGCATTGCAGACCAACCTCCCTTGGAGTTCCTGTGCTTATTGCTTATTGAGTGGTATCTCCAAGTTCTGTCCAGCCTCATTTGCTTTAAGCATGTTGCCTAGAGGCATGTTAATTCAGGGTTTGAATATTTCCATGCACTTCAGGCAGTCCGTTTGGTATTTGAACAGCCTTATAGTAAAGTTTTTTACTTCATTTAAACATAATTTTGTGTAATTCATATTTTACCTATTGACTTTTGAACTTGATGTGAGCTAGCAGTGTGCATTTACAGCCTGGAAGGCTAGTGGTATCCTGGGTTCTATCAGAAGAGTGATGGCCAGCAGGGTGATGGAGGTGATTGTCCTTCTCTGTTCTGCTCTCGTGAAGCCCCAGCTGGAGTACTGCATCCAACTCTGGGGCTCCCAGCATAGGAAAGATGTGGAGCTTTTGGAGAAGGTCCAGAGGGGGGCCACAAAGGTGATCGAAGAGCTGGAGCACCTCTCTTATGAGGATAGGCTGAAGGAACTGGGCTTGTTCAGCCTGGAAAAGAGAAGGCTGCAGGGAGACCTCATTATGGCCTTTCAATATTTAGAGGGAGTTTATAAACAGGAGGGAAATGAAATCTTACACAATCTAATAGTGAAAGGACATGGGGGAATGGTTTTAAACTGAAGGAGGGGAGATTTAGATTAGATGATGGGAAAGATTTTTTACAGAGAGAGCGAGATGCTGGAACAGTTTGCCCGGAGAGGCTGTGGATCCCCCATCCCTCCAAGTGTTTAAGGCCAGGTTGGCTGGGGCACTGGGCAATCTGATCTGGTGCTTGATCTAGCAGTTGGCAACCCTGCCTGTAGCAAGGGAGCTGGAACTTCATAATCCTTGGGATCTCTTTCACCCCAAGCCATTCTATGATTATGTCTACCAGGAGCCCTGGATCAATTTTGCAAAACTACTTTCTGGTCATTTGGTCCCAGCCCAGTATTGGTGCATAGGGTTATTCATCTTCAGTTTTCTTCTGTTAAACTTCATGATGTACCTCTGAATGGCACTACAACCACCGGGTCTACTGACCACACAGTCTCATTTTACATCCTCTACTTGCCTGCTCTGTTCCATCAGTTAGGTTATTACTTATGTTACACAGTACTGACCCAAATATCAAGCCCTGGGGAATAGTACTAGCAGCTGGTCACCAGTGGGACTTGATACCAGCAATATTTTGAGTCCAGTATACCAGACAGTTTTCATTCCTAACTGTCTGCTTACCTAGCCTGCATTTTTATCTTCAGTTTGCATCATTTTTGCATCAGTTTGTCTTTGAGGATGTTAAGTGTCAAAGGCTTTGCTAAAATCAAGCTAAGCAATATGCACTGCTCTGCCATTACCCACTGAGTCACTCATCTCCCTGAAGAAGGCTATTAGGTTGATCAAGTAAATCCATTCTGGCTACTTCTGCTCGTGCTATTTTCCTTAACATGTTTAGAAGTGGCTTCCAGGAAGATTTCTTCCATCACCATCCCAGAGACTGAGGTGAGGCAAACTGGCCTGAAGTTCTGCAAATACTCCTTCTTGCCCTTCCTTGAAGATAGGAGTACTTGTTTTCTTCTAGTCCTAAATTGTAGGTACCTTTAAAAAAAATATATATATATGTATATATATATATATATAAATCTTCACAGTTTCTTGGTTTCAGTCATATCTAGAGACAGTGACTTCTGAAGTACTATTTTCTATTACACTGACAATAGCATTCCTTGTACATCCAGTACTTTTTAATTTTGTTGACTAGATTCTTGTTTTGGATACAGTGTAAATAGAACTGTGTTACTCACTTTTTCCTATTCCATATTTTCTTTCTCTTTCATGCAGTGTTTTCTGCACATTTTCTGAATTAAACGATGGCCTCTCTGTGTCTCTGACTACTTTTAGTCGTCTGTCTCTGCCTGCTCGTTTATAAATACAGTTATTAATTCCGTCATATATAATAGGTAAACATGCTAATCTACAACTTGATTAAATCTTTAATTATTTTTCTGTGTGAGTATACGAGTTCCCACATTGTGGAATGTTTATATAATAGAATTTGATTTTAAAATTTCAGCATTTAGCAAAAAGCATTTTAAATACTCTGTGTGTACATAAATCCCTGTATCTAAACTACTTGAGACTATTAAAGGTCTTGCTGACTCCCGATACAGGAAAAACGTGTCAGATTGATTTTGTGTTAAGTGCAGGACAAGCCAAAGATGAGAACTGAGTTTCAAGCTAAGGGGAAACCTTGTGCTCAAAAAAACCTTGGAGTTAAGTGTTTATTTTTACATATGTCTTTTGATTTTAGAAAATCAGGTTGTAGTTCTTTCAACAGCGTAGCACCTCATGGTGCTAGGGCTGTCATTTTTGCTAACTGAATACCCAGCTAGGTCTGGATTTTACTGTGGTAGAGAACTAAGACGAAAAGTACAATAACAGTTACTAAAAAATACTGATTTTCTGTTTCAGTGTAAGACCTGTTCTGAGCCAAAACAAATAACTAGTTCCTCTGCAATCTGTAGCAACCCCAACCTAATCAAACCAATTCCAGTGAAGCCTAGTGAAAATCAACATCAACGAATATCTCAGCAAAGCAAGGTAAAGTGTTTTGTGTGTGTTCTGACTAGTGTTATAACCAAGTAGCCAACCAAGAGTACTTAATTAGATCAGAAGATCAGTGCAAGAATTTGTGGTAAAACCACAGTAAGGATTATGTTTTAAATGCAAAACTAATCTATATATTAAAAAATCTGCTTTCATCCCACCAATCTGAGTACTGGGACGTAGCATCCAGATGCAGCAGTTAAAAATAAATAAAAAAATTAAAAACCACCTTGTTCTTCAATGTTGAGATGCTGCTTTGATCCCAAGCTGGTGTAGTTAATTGCTGAACCACATTTTTTGTGTTTGTTGTCTTCAAGGGAATTTCAGGTAATCTAAAAGTCTTTTGCTTTTACAAAAGCATCTTCAAACTATACCATATTGCAAAAGCTGAATTCAGTCAACTGTGACAAGGAGATGTACCAGAAGTGACCTTGCTCTGCACAGGGGGAGGTTTTTGTTCTTTATTAATGTTGTATGGATGGCTGGAAGGGTAGGTGCTCTTTTATGGTATTTAAAGTGAAAGCACTGCTGTCTTTCAGATGCACTGGTTTTCTCCCACATTAGCAGCTTGACAACTGTTTTCTTGCCCTTCTGATGTGACTGAACTATTAGAAATTCTCTAGGGAGAAAAGAGCATAGCAGTTCTCTTGGCTTTTTCTTGAACACTGCTGGCTAAACGTTGTCACCACTTAATGTTATTTATCATGCATGGCATAACTACAATTTTTTTCTTTGTCCCTTCGCAGAATGCGGATCCTGAACCACAACACTTGTCTTTGACAGCCCTGTTTGGAAAACAAGAGAAAACAGATGTCACAGAACCACTTAATAAACAGCATCAAGAGAACCTTCCTGTTAGGCAGGGTGTGGTACGTTCTCTGTCCTATGAAGAACCTAGCAGGCATTCTCCCTGTGCAGAGAAACAGCTTTGCCCTGCTATTCAAAAGCTGATGGTGCGTGGGACAGACCTTCACCCGCTTGCTGAGTTTCCTGAGAACCGACTCTGTGAAAATGGCAATATCCACCCTGTGGGTGAGACCTTCACAGGACTCTTCCAGCCTGTGACTTCTCGTGGCATTGCAACATCTCACGTAGTTCAGGATGCTGCTGGTACTCAGAGCTTGTTACAGAAATTGCAGAGTCAGTCAGGGTCGATGACTAAAATGGATCCCAGTGCAACAGGATCTGTGAACTCAACGGCTTCTGTGTTCAGCAGGACTCCTGCTGCTGTTGGAGCACCAGCAGCACAGATGAATAATGTGACCCAGCCACCTTTGGTATATTTCAATGGTTCCCTGCCAGGTCAGACTTTAGAGTCTCAGACGCTTGGTAAAGAACAGTCCAAACTTCCTAGACAGCCAGTTTCTCTCTCTGGCAATCAGACAGCCAATTCTGGGGTGATATCACCTCAGGAGTTATTGAAGAAGCTCCAGATCGTGCAACAAGAACAGTTGCATGTATCCAGCAGACCAACCTTGGCAGCTAAGTTTCCTGTTGTTACTCAGAACACCAACACCTTGAAACCACTGGATTCCTGGATAGAAAAGGCACCGGGTACGGAAAAGCAGAGCTCTCTCTTTCAGGTAAATAAACAATTTCAGAAGCAGTTTTCTAAGTTTTTAAGGCCCATTCTCTGTTTCTTTTTGGCCAGTATATTCTTCTTTCTGCCTTATGTGTTGCTGTCTTGCACACGTGACTCATTTTGCAGGTGACAATTTATCAACAGCATAAGGAAGTTCTAATTTACTAAGCAGTGATATTGTAAATACCAAAGGAGATGTCTCTTGTACATCAGTAATGACAAGGGGTAGTATTTATGTAGCTTTTCTTTGTTTTTCAGACATGTTTAGAAATGGCATGTAGGTTTCAGTGGCCGTTCTTTGTAATGTTTTGAGTATAATAGTATTTCTTCCTCACAAAATTAGTCATAACTTTTTCTGTGCAGGTAAGTGTTCCTTTTTGTGCCAGTTGCTAAAAGTGCTAAAGATGCTGACAGGATGCTTGCTTTCTAACAACAGGCTTTCAAATTATTTTTACATTGCTGAATTCATTGTCTTGGACCATAACCATTACTCCAAACTGTACAGCAGTTTTGGTTTTTTATTCAATAAATATTGTTTTGAAAATTTGCCCTGTGCATGAAAGTCTTAAAAAGAGGGGGGAAAAAAAAAAAAAAAAAAAAAAAAAAAGCAAATCTCCAAAATACTGAGTTCTTTTGACTGTGCCCCTGATATTGGGGCCAGAAAATTCAGGAGACGTCAAGAGATGACGTGTCTCTACTTGATACATTTTTCTGTCCTTTAGGAGAACCTCAAATGTGATTATTAAGTGTCTAATCCTAGACAACTGCTCACTGCTAACAGTGTCTTTGTAGGAACTTCCACGTTTGAATGTCTTCATGTGTGCTTTGCTTGAGGATGAGCATTAAAGTCCCTTTTACTTCCTTTATAGGAGATACAGAATCCATAAGCCTTATATTGTGTTGGAGTCTACTAGTTACTTGCCCAAATTATAAATCATTATTTTTTCTGCTGCTTATCTACTGCAACTTCTTAAATAGCTGAATGAAACACTATTGCTCCAAATATCCTCCTTATTGCTAGAAAGCTATTTTTCACCTGAGGAGCCTGAAATAGCCATTTAACAATTAAGGGCCACGTGGGCTCCATCTGTTATAAACACTGACAGATCATGATTTCTAATTTCATGAGAGAGGTCAGAGGAAGATGAATTTGATAGAACGAATAGCCACCATTATTTTAATTCTTTCAATTAAACTAGCATGATTTTGAATCTGTGTGAAGGAGCGTTTGGTGGATTAGTCACTGAAATTTTTCAGGATCAGTTGCTTACAGATGGCAATCTGACTTTCCAGTGAAATGCTAATGAATAGAAAGAGGATTTAGAGTCACAGTGATTTACTGTTTTTGCTGGGAATGGAACTTGCCTGCTACAAATGAAAGAAATTGTCCAATTCACTGGGAAATGCGCGTATAGAATGGAGACTTAAGACATTCTTACTTGGAAGATAAAACTGAAATGAGGCAAGTACCAGGCTATGCATAATAAGCTAGTATGTGCAGTAGAGAGTGGGGAAAAAATCTTGATGTGTTTTCAAATGAAAAATCCGTATTGATGCTGATGAGGCTAATGACTTTGTGTATATTTGAGAAAAAAACTGATGTCAGTATTAGTTTCAGTATGAAAAGGGAGCTGAGGATCTCACTAATAATGCAGTTACAATAATTTTACAGCTTTAGTATAAACAAAGCAATAGCTTGAGAGAAGGGACAATTTTTACTGGAAGTCACATCCACTAGAATTATTGCTGCAAGTTTGCTTTAAAAGGGAGGAACAAAAACAGAAACACTCACACACACACAAAAAAAAAACCTGAAGAGACTCTAAATCCTACTTTGCATGGCTGTGAGCAGTCCAAAAAGATTGAAGTTGCCTAGGAGTGGCTATGCTGACAGCGCTACAGCTGCTATCGAAACAGCATTAGATCAGTTTTTGACACATTTTTGTATAAATAGAATAAAAATAATAATAATCAGACTTAATGAACAGACTAAAAATGATGAAAGTATGACTAATAATTGTTTGGGACCCTAAATATCTGCAGTGTGGAAGGAATGGCCTCTCTGACATGCAGCAGATTCCGCCTTCCCCAGCGCCCCCCCCCCCCACAAAAAAAAAAAAAAGGAAAAAAAGGATAGGAATTAAGGAACAAGTCTTTATTCCCGTAGATTACCATGAATTTGCCATATGAAGAGATTCTTGAAGATAACAATTCAAAACAACTTCTAAAACCAATGTTAATGTTTTTATAATCGCATCCATACCATAGACAAAAGCTTTTAAGCACTGCCACGCCTGCAGACAGACATTTGAGTGAAATTGAGTTGGCATCAATATATCTGCACATGCTCATGCAAAATTGATCAAAGTAGATTCTGCTGACAAATATGGCAAAAGGTTTGTTCTCTGTAATTACTTATCTTTTGGTATTGCATCTTTTACTGTAATCCAGCACACAAAAAAAGTGAATGCTAAAACGCTTGACAGGAATAGAAGGGTATCTGGACAGTGTCTTTGTTGTTTGGAAAAATCACATTACAGGAACATCCCAGATCTATCAGCAGTGCTGAGAAAATTAAAGCAATAGTCTTTTCCACAATTGACACATTACAAGTCCAATTTTAAATTGGCTTCTGCATCTCCATATGGTGTAAGAACTGCGCTCTCCCACGTGGAGAGGAAAAGACCAGTTACAAAAGAATAAAAAATAAAACTAAACATGAAAAGCTAAGGAATAATGCTTGGAAGCATTCGTCTGATGCTAGCCCTACTCTGAGAAGTATTCCTTATGCAGACAGTGAGTAACACGTGCTTTGGATGCAATGAGAATGCATTAATCTGCAATGGGCTTTTAAACATGTGCTTAGTATTAGGCATGAGTTATGCCAATTATAGATTCATGCATGCTGAAGTGTTTATGTTAATCAGAATTGTGATTTGGAGAATGCTTACAATAACCTTGACACAAGTTGATCTTTTCTTCAGAAGTCCACTTATGTTGTATACCACTCACTTGATTTCGTAGAGCATTTTCCATCAAAAATGTCATAAACCTACTGTGTTACATGTTCTGAATGTGTGTACTGTACATAGTAGCTAGTGGTGTGATGCCTGCATCAAAGATACCTATTACCATAACTGCAGTTTCAGCATGAGATTATAAGCATGCTGAGGAAGAATGCAATAGATATGTTAAACTTGTCATGAAATGTAATCTCAGATTCGATAGTTATGCATCAATTAAAATTTTCTGGATGATACCCAAGAGACAAAACAATGTTACGATTAGCATTATAATTGGCTGTATTGTAACAGCAATTGTTTTTAAAATTCTGGAGCCATTCCTGGACGAAGTGTTCTCAGCTCTAAATAGTGCCCCTACAGACAGCCCATGGCATCCCCCGGGTGCTGATGTTCCACAGGAGTGCTTGATGCAAGTGGAATTTTGCACACGCAGAAAGAGGAAGCAGGGCCTGGTCCCAGTCTCCCATTACAGGAACGCCATGTGTTTCTTAGTGCGTGGTGTTATGTGAATTTGCCAGCTGTAATGTCTAGCTGCTAGCAGCCATACACAACATCAAACATATCTTAGTGAGCGTTTGTGCTTCAGAAGAGGAATAGTACGTGCTGCAGTGACTATCTTGCACATTTTTTCATTGTTCTTACTTTATTGCTGCACAACTGACAGTAGATTCCCACTCTGTTATTAGTGACTCAGAGATGTAAGTGTTGACCTGAAAAAGCTGGAGCTAATTCAGGGGAGGCTGGATGCACAAGCTGCTCTTGTTAGATTCTGTGAGAAAGAAGGGGATCTGTAGTGTTTTGGAAAGGCTGTTACACCTTGTACAAAATTACTCAAGGCTAAAAGACTGGTTTGAAGGTTGTATGTCTGTACAGAGTGTTTCCAGTGCTCTTGGCAAAAGCTTTGCTCTGTAGGAATCACACTAGTGATGCCAGTTCAGTGCCCTACATTTGCTGATGGGCAAATCATCAGGTGGCTGGAGGTGATCTGAATTGAATTTAAACTGAAAATTTGCCCTTATGTTTTAAAACGTATTTTTTTTACACATAAGTTTTTTAAATGGCAGAAGCTTTGAGCATGATCTCTTAGCAAAAGAAAATACATTTTAATGTTTGCACACAAAAGCACTTGGTATGGGCTGAGAATAAAAGATAGGTGTATTCTTCTGAGGCAAGTACTTGAAATACTGCAGTAAGCTGTAGATATTAGCTCTGTCGCCAGTAGATGGCAGCATTGCTTATTCCATATACCATCCATATGATTGGAAAACTCTTCCAAAAACCTGTTTCTATCCAGAACAAAATAAACAATTTTTTATATGTCTGTTAAAACAAAACGCATGTATGTTGGACAGTAGTAACTATGTTACATAATTCGTGTCAAATTTTGTTTGTTTGTCTCAGACTCCTAAAGAGAAGTAAGTGTCTTTTGATTTCAAAGGACTCATCATTTAGATCCGTGACATCATCAGTCTTAGGTTTCCCTGTCTTAGTGAGACAATTTACCTCCTCCAGCTGCTCCCCACCACTCCTTTGCTGGAGGCTCCTACCCTGCAGAGCATATGCATTCTTTAAATCACATTAGGAAAAATCATCTGATTTCAGGTACCCCACCAGTTTTAATTGGGATAAACTAAAGAGAAGTTACTCAAGCTGCATGGATGAATAGGTCAGAGATGCTGTCATGAGTGTCCGGAGGCAGCCAATCTTCTACAGGCACATCTGCAGGAGATGTGTGTGCACATGCTGAAGGTCTGAATCTACATCGGTATGTCCCCCTGGACTTCTGATGGTTTTCCTCTAAAATGAGCATTGGTTTTTAAGCGTAGGTGCACAAACGTCTGTGCCACTTTACTTCCTGAAGCAAACCTGCATTAAGCTAGAAATACTGTTAATTCATTCAGGAGCTTGTAAGACAGACTTGATTATTTACTTTGTTATCTCACAGGGGAGAAAAAAAGGTAGCAGGTAGAGAGTTGAATTTTTAACTAATATTCTGTATTTGAGAAACAGAGGAACAATGTTTACCTAGAAAGTGTACTGGGAGATTTTTGCCTGAGACGCATATTGCATGCTTTCTAATGTGTGTTGGTGTGTCCTGGCCCCTAGTCTTTCTGCTTCCTTCAATTTAGCACCAGCGAGCATGAAATCTCAGTCTTCATTATTCTATTCTTTTTGTACTGGTGCCTAATATTGCTCAGAAATGTCTTGTGTAGAGCAATTGTGGCTAGGGCTAAGAGAACCAGTGAAAGAAAGAATGCTTTTTAATGTTCATGTGCATTGTCTTGCACACCTAGGAGATCAACGTCAGATCTATTTTCTTAGTCTTAATTTCTCTTCAAAATTGAAATGTAACTCAGGACACAGAGCGGAGTGATGCTGTAGCCTTTCACCTTCATAGAATAGCAATAAATCATGTTCCAGCTCCAAGCATGGAGGGCTCAAACTAATTTCTTTGTGCATTCTGTTCCTTGAAAAAAAAGATTAGATGCTTGAATGCTGAGGAGACAGCTGATAAGGATTTATTACTAGAATTACCAGCAGAAAGTTTCAATATCTACAAACTTAGTGAATAAACTTTGTTATGCCATATATTATATCTGCTAGTGCTGACTAATCCTGCAGGTTTTTCAGTTCTGAGATGTATCGCAAATTTGAAATGTAAAAATTCTTTGACACCCATATTTGCATGTTGGCATGGATATGACAACTTGTGGAACTTCAGTGTCTGGATTTTCCTTCTCTTTGAGGGCCATTTTGATGAGCTGAGTATTGGTTGGGAATCAGTTCTGTTTCTTACAGTGCCACTAGTTCACTGCAGGTCTTTACATAAATCATTTAATCTCCATTTCATTTCACTTCTCCTAGCTTAAAAAGAGAATATAGAGGAGTTTGTATGCACATATATATGTGTATGTGTACACATATATATGTACATATATCAAAAGTGATAATTGGCAAGTATTTTCTAGTATTAGATACAAAGACTGAGCTTTATTATTGGTATTTGCAAGTAAGAAAGAATATTATCAAACTTCAGGGCTTACTGACCTTATGGAAAACTTCACAGCTGCATTCTCTGAAAATGCTCATTATTCAGCAATAGTCTAATTTCTGTCATAACATGCTTTTGTACTCCGATCACTTGCCTGACAGGTAGACTGTATTGTATTGGAACTCATGACTGCATTCACAGTTTGGATGGAGGTCCTTTTAATCTGGAATTGAATCATATAAGAGTCCTGAACTTGGAGGTTCATGTGACTATACCAGTCTCCCACAGTTTCTGTACCTGTTGCTAATCAGTCTGCAGCTTTAATCATCTCAAATCATATATTATTAATTAAATAGGTTATTTAATTGATAATTTTTATGTGGACAGGTAATCTCACCTCAGCGCATTCCTGCCACTGTGACTCCTACCTTATTGATGTCCCCAATGGTGTTCACTCAGCCCACACCTGCTGCACCAAAAGCCAATGAAAGTGGGCTGTTAGCAGCATCAAACCAAGAACCTGCTGCCAGCTCTGCTAACCTTCTCCTACCACTGCAAACCCCAGAGCCACCTGTGATGACCAGCAGCTCAGTGACAAAGATGCAGCTGCAGGAAACACTTCTACACCTGATCCAGGTAAAGTGCCAAGAGTTCTACTTCAATTTAAACCTTTATTCCCATTTTAATATAAGCACCTGGTCACTTAAGCACCTGGTCATCTAAAGAGTTGTATTCATCTGTTTAGAGACTAAGGGGTAATTAAGTATGTGCTGGAATCGTGCTTTTTATTGCTGTGTTAATTGAGCACTATTCCATAGACCAGGGAGGTAATAGCCTCTTCTTGCATACTGCTAGCTTAAATGCACTGTGATTAGTCAATGTAGTTTGAGATTAGGAAGAGGTGATACAGTTGAAGGAAAAGAATAAAGATGACTGAAAGCTTCAAAAGGCTGTCCTGAGAGCTGGAAAGATACCTGTTGAATTTTTAGCAAAGTAAAGGTTGGTTATCTTAGCAGGCAAATACTTCAAAGAGGCATGCTAGCAGCAAGAACAACTCAGATGGGAAATGTGAGCAACTTTAAAATACAGGTTAACATATTTATGTTTATAAGTAACAACATGCTAGTTTAATCTGTTCTATGTACTTCTCTACTTGAAATGCTAAAATTCCTCTTGCTAGAATTATTCGAGCTTAAATCTGAGAAAGCATTAACAGCATATAGGACATTATTGTTTCCTGGTCTGCGATTATATGAATGATTATGATTTTTTTTTCAGTAACTTGCTCTGAACTTAATACCTGAAGAGTGGAGGTTGAGACTGTAGAATTAAAGAACTGGCTATAGTACATAATGAATGGAGGCACGGGTTGAAGTGTCTAATTTGTAGGCCAAACTATGCCTGTAAGGCTTGGCAATACGATATGTCTTTATTGGAATGCTGAAGTGACTCACATAAAATGAAGTTTAAATTATAGACCTAGAAATAAAATAGCATCTTTTAGACATTAGATGTTCTTCTCATTTTTTTCTTTATTTTTATGTTGGATTTAAAAATAAAAGTATTGTAATATTTTGTCTTATGTACATAGAATATCTGGATAATAGGAAAACTGTGTACAAAATTGAAAAGGAGACTACTTGTGAAAGAAAACTAGATTCTGTGCTCTGAGATTATATTTGTAAAATGCATTTTCAGTCCCGCTGTTCTTGATGACAGCTAGGATTAACTGTGTTACCTGGAAATTATTTACTGCTTAATAACATGATGCTGATCGCTAGTTTCTTAGCTAGCATTTTCAGTTATATAACACTACAATCTCAGTTTCTCCTGGTTTTCCTCAAGGACTGCCCTGATTTTAATTATCTTCATATGTTTACGTAAGCTACTTAAGACACTTTTTCTTAATGTGAGTTTGCCAGTTCTTGAAAAAACTGGTCTTCTAAAGAGGAAAGTTAAACACGTAGCAGAGCCAAAGAAGCAGTTTGTGGTAGGAGCATTAAGTCTAAAATAATTAAACAGTCTAATGATGATAGGACAAGGGCTTATGGATTTAAACTAAGAGAAAAGAATTTTATGTGAGATGTTAGAAAGTAGTTTGTTACTCAGAGAGCAGTGAGGCCCTGGCCCACGCTGCCCAGAGAAGATGTGGGTGCCCCATCCCTGCAGGCAGTCAGGTTGGATGTGTGGCAGCCCTCCCTCTGGGATGGGGTTGGAATTGGATGAACTTGAAGTTACTTCAAGCCCAAGGTGTTCTGTGATAAACAAGATGGAAGTGTTTGTCCAGGTAGGATTTAGCATAGGAGCAAAACCCAAAGTGTTCCACTGTTCCTTCAGAGACACTTACAATAATCAGTGAACTAATGGAAGAAACTTAAGGAAACTGTTAGGTAAATGGGGGCAAAGAGAAGAAATCAGAGGATTATATCATGGAATCCTCAGTGTTGGTAGGGACCCTTAAAGATCATCTATTCCAACTCCCTTGCAATGAACAGGGGCATCAGATCGGGTTAGTTAGATCAGGTTGCTCTGAGCTGTATTCTTTGCAGTATCATGCAAGAGCAGTGTAGTCATGATAAATCAGATAGAAAGTTTACTTTCTGTCTATCCATTACTATTTATAGAGTTGTGCTTCCCATCCAGTTATATATTACGTTCAAGCCATAGAATATATGTTTGTACAGGAAATAGCCGTTCTGTTGTGTGCTTCTTAAGACAGAGCAAGGTTGAAAAGTATTTTGTCTGTGAAATGAAAAAAGAACCTTATCTGTGTACTCAAGAATGTCTCCTTTGTAGTAACAGTTGTTTTGTTTTTCAGAACGACGACAATTTCTTAAACATTATTTATGAAGCGTATCTCTTCAGTGTGAGAAAGGCAGCAATGAAGAAATCCATGTGAAAGATGTTTTGTTGGTTTAAAAAAAAAAAAAAAAACAACGAAATTTTACTTCCTGAATCCCAGGAAAAAAAGGCTTCCAAATTTTCAACTAATGTTACATTTAAAGAAATGAATGGTCTTGGGTGCTTTGCATACACACAGAATTTGCTTGTTAGCAAGTGGGTGGAAATGGATTGTACCTTCAGGGAGAGGAGTGTCACAATGCTGAAGACTTAATTGCAAAATATTTTTCGTAGACTGGCCCATACTTAGAATTGGTTTTCCTGCATAAAGTCACCGTTCTCAGAGTTCAGTTTCGTTTTTGACTTACAGCATGGTTATTCATTGACTGGGTGCGTTTCCTCCAATATCACGTGCGACTTCCACGATGAACGATGCCCGTTTCTGACCACATGGTGGCAATGTTGGACTTTTTTTTAGGAAAGTGAAAATCGGTGAAATTTTGGAACTGAAAGTCTTAGGTAAACTGTTATGTCACCTCACTTAGTTGTCTGCAGAGAGATTTAGAAGAAATGTCATGACTATCCCCCAAAATTTTGTAGAGAAATCTTTTTCTATTTTAACAGAAATATTTTTAGCTAGCTGTAGAACTCTGCAGGTGTTTTGATGAACTAGGGGGGAGGGTTTTGTTTGTGAATGTACTTGCTATCAGCATAGCTTTGGGGTGGCACTGGATTCATGTTTCTATTACTCCAGATCCAATCTGCGTTACTGTAAGCAACGTGCAGCTTTGTTAAGGGGGAGGCTACCTGATGTAAAAGTTCTATTAAGTTGGGGTTTTTTTTTAAGTGTGGGTTTTTTTTTTTTTCTTTTTTTCTGGAGCACAGTGGTTTCATGGATCCATTTCTAAAGAAAATAAAATGGATAGTCCCTACTTTGTGGTGTTTTCTTTTTATTCTACAGTGGACTATATATATAGAATTGTTGGGATCAGTTGTATTTCTGTGACTTTAAAATGTTCTTACGCTTGGCAGAAGAGACATTAATGAGATTAGAATAAGTGGCTGAAAGAAATTTTCTCTATATTTTCATCAGCATCTCCTGCTTAAGTGCAAGTTTGCCACAGTTTAGGAACCACAAGTTGTTGCTGAGGAGATATTTCCTTTATGGCTGCAGAGAGTCTGACCTGTAATGCACAAATGAGTATACACTTGTCTGGGTGGGCTATAGATGTAGGTATGTAGGCATAGCTCACCTGCCTCAGCTGTGAGGGAAAGGTTCTTCAGTGTAAATAGGGGCATACATTTCAATTAGCATAGTTCTGTTTATATAGTTACCCCCACTTCCCATATATATATGGCTTTTGGGGAGGGATAATAGCATTGCTCACATTCCTTGGGCAAATTTGTAAACAAACAAACAAAAAGTGAGGAACTACTTGTTTTATACACAAGTGAGTAATCCCAAGAGATTTGTGCCTACCAAACTGCTAGACTTCTCCAAAGTAGCTCATAGAGAGCAAGTTGTGTTCTTGTTCCATTAGTTACCAAATGGGTTCCCTGAAAAGAATGTGTTGCACAGGTAGAAAGACCTTAAAGGCAGCAAGACCTAATCCTAATTTCTTCTCTGCTGTGAAAGAAGTTGGAATCTGCACAAAGGAGTGTGTATGAAATGAAACACATGCAAAATGTCTGTGACTCTGGATTATCTGTGAGAGTACAATTTAGAAATGACGGGGCTGCATAGTTATGACCTAATTTGACATGTAGAACCTTCTGTAACTGGTGGGTAAAGATAATCCCTGAGTATCTCTGACTGTGTCTGTGATTGATTGGTTTTCTAGTCATGGGAGAAACAGTTATATTTGGAAAAAAAAAAAAAACAAGAACAAAAACAAAAAAAAACCCCTTCACAAATCCACAAAATCTGATGCACGAATTTTAAGAACATCCTTACTTATTGCTTTTCAGAATAACATCACTTTAAAAAGGTGTATTTCTAAAAAAATATCTGTTAACTCTTGATGCACATGGCAATGGTAATATTGGCACCGTGTCAACAAGCTGAAGCATATCTTAAAGCAGACAAGAGTAAAGTTAATTCCAGGTTTCTTCTCACTGCTCTCTTTCTGAGTTACTGCTATACCATGTAACGCCAACGGAGCTGTTTTTCTCTCATCCTCAGAGCTCTAGGGAGTATCTGAGACTGGGTAGTGTACACTTGCCTTTTGGGTGTTTATAAGGGTAGTTTGTAAGGGAGCTGCCATTTTAGTTGACTTTGCATACTTACCAACAGTAACAGAAGTAACAAGGTAGAACAGAAAGAAACGCTCTGAATTCTAAGACAACAGAGGAAAGAATAAAAAGTATTGATAAAACTGAATTGCAGTCAAATTTGTTGTTCAGCTTTTTATTTTAGATGGCAAAATCAGCTTCTTCAGGGACATTTGGGAGCTGGAGGCTGAACTTTGGTTCTGTGCTATGCTGAAGAGAGAAGTGCTTGCCCTATTCTCTCTTCTTTCTGCTGTAAACTGAAGAGTCCATTACAGAAAGACACTTTTTCAGAAATACAGCCAGAACCTTCCAGTACCATGGAAAAGCTGCAGGATCCTCACGCAGTGATGAAAATGTACATTATTCTGCCTCATGGCCTTTTATCAGCTGGGGCTGTCTCTTTAGGCAGTCAGATCTGTGCATGACACTGGAATGTTTATGTCAGGTTTTATAGATCCTTACCTTGAAACTAGAGTGGTTCTGAACACTCAGGTTCCCAGGTTGTTTGCCACAGTTGTAAGACACCACTAGCAGTACTTTTAATTAAGGCATTTCCACAGTATCTCCATGTGTTTTTTTTTCTTTGATGTGTTTAATATACTGCTAAGTTTTCTTCTTCTCTCTTTTTCCCAGTAGAGTAAATATGTTGGGAGTTGATACTTCGCAAGAATTTCCAGTGTTGCAGTAGTGCTTTACACATTAATCCCAGTCTCAGCATTGAATTGATACTAGATTTCAGAGTGTTTCCACTTCAGTACTGTTTGCTTTCTTAAAAATTCCATTCCTATTGAACTGGAGAGATAAGTCAGTCAAATACTGAAACATAATCTGTAACTAATTCTGCCAGTGTTTATCATGGAAACCCATAATATTCTGTGAAGTCATCCAAACCTTTCCTCGGGCCATTTTCACAGAAAATTCAAATCCTTAATTTGATTTTCATTCATTAGCCCTCATTGCTCCTCTGTCTGTGCTTCCTCGTTGTTGCTGCAAAGGGGATAATTAAAACTGTACAACAAAATAAAAATTTTCCAGGAGCAGCATGAGGCTGAATAGGCAGGATGCTTCATCTCCTCTGACAGCCTGTTTACAATGTGTTGAGCTTTGAATTTCAGTCATAAGTGCAGTAGAATTCTAGATAACTCAGTCCCTTTAGGATATTAAAAACCATAGTTAATATTTTAGCAAACTTGGAGATCTTTGCTGGGGAAAAGATGAGATTAAAAGACATTTTTCATCAAGCATTTGAGGCTCTAATGTTGAAAATGTTATGAGAAGGCAGCAGCTTTACCCCGAGGGATTCCTGAAACCTAGAGAAAAGATAAAATTCCAGTCTTGAAAGTGAATAATGCACTAAAAAATTAATCCTCAGTCAACATATTATAGACTTTACTGTTCATCCTGACTAAGGACTTTTAAGAGCCTCATATGACTTCTGGCCTTTTCCAAACTGCTATGGTTATCCGTAACAAGCTTGTTCTGACCTCTGGGCATGAATCTGCGCTGAGCAGAACTGGGAATAAAGGAGGAAGTTTGGGCACGTATAAACAGGAGGAAATGTGATCCTGGAAGACACAGATGAAGAAACAAAGACTGTGGCTTTATAAACACTTTAAACTGGCTGTAGAGGCAGACTGGCCCCTACCCACCCTTAGATTGGTGTGGGAGTGTGCAGCTTTCCTTCCTTTTCCCAATATATTTCTTTTCATTTGGACTAAGACAGGTTCATAGTAACCTGGACCTGTTTATCCACGATGCATTTTAAGACTCTCTCCACACCAATGCTGCTTTAAATCTAGATCAGTTTGGTGAGCAGCAGTGCAGGTACCTGCATTGGTGAGGCAAGGGGGTAAATGTACTCATAGAATCACAGAAGCTTTTCAGTTGGAGCTACCTGGTAATCTCTCCTGCAATCAACAGGAACACCCACATGTAGATCAGGTTGCTCAGAGCCCCGTCCAGCACAACCTTGGGTGTCTCCAGAGATGGGGCATCCACCACCTCTCTGGGCAACCTGTGTCCCAGTAGAGGACACGCTGAGTCACACCTCAGGGTATGATGAGGGCTGACAGCTCTCCTGCTTGCTGCCCAGCTGCTGATGGAGTCACTGTGAGAAGAGCAGACCTACATATAAATCATGGGTGGGGTCTGCAGAGAAGAGAGTGAAGCAGGAGGACTGAGCTGATCTATTGCTTAAAGCTGACTTCAGCTTTTGTGAAACTTAGCAAAAGGCCTTTCGCCTCTTCACTTCATACTCAGAAGATATCACAAAGATCAAAATGTGATTTCACTGCTGTGCCCTGCTTTGGTTGTATGTGGAGGTCCATGCGAGTGTCTGCAATAGCTCTACTAAGGATAAGCATTGTTCATGAGGTTAATCTCCCTGTAGAGGCAATGGAAAGACAGGATTGTCTTGAGGACAAGCCTGAGCACAGACCTAACTTGGCCTGGGAGATTAGACTGACTGATCTAATGTTAGCTTGTGCAAGCACCTTCCCCAGCACCACCACCATCTTGTGTTGAAACTGCTGACCATAAAGGCAGCCCCTACTTTGCCTCACAAAACAGCAGATGCTTGGGTGAACAAGTTGGTATATACAATAGGAAGACACTGTGTGTGTTTTAAAGGCAGCAATCTCAGACAAGAAATAAAAAAAAAAGAAACATTTTTGAGACTGAGTCACGAATAAAAATCCTTTTTATTATATTTGGACACAGAAAGTCAAGCAAGCTCTGAGTTCAGGACAACGTGTGTGCACTAACAATGTTAGTCAAAATAGGCAGAAAAAAAGAAAACCCTCAGATCATGTGGACAAAAGCCAAAAGAAATAGAAAGGATCACAACTCATTTTACTACTAGTAAGATAGTGGTTCACTTCCAAATGATGAAGGAACCAAGGCTCTACAGGTGCTACCCTGCATACAGAGGGATGCTGAATGTTGGCTGGATCCTACACAGTTATTAATTCCTTTCTTGCCCACATATTGCCAGCCTGCATCATAGGCTCATCAGCTGAGTGCAGAACTCCTGTGCTTTCTCTTGAACACTGCTGGTATGCATCTCTTTTACAGCAAAGAGCTTTGGATGCAGCTATCAGTACCACATTTCTTCACCTGATATCTGAAATCTACTTATGAAACCTACGAAATAATGATAGATATTATGTCTCTACAAAAAGATACAACTCCGTGGTTTTCTCCAGCACTTGCCTGTAAATACTACAGATAGAAGGAGAGCAGGAAGGAACGTGCATACTCCTGGCAGCACTCCCAGCGCAGGGCTGGGGACAAAAGCTCTGTCTTCTTTCATTTTTACTGCTGCTTAGCAGCCTGGATCACTAACGGCCTCCTCCTTTCCCCTTAGAGCAGTAGCCCCAGACCTACCACTTAGCAGAAGTGCCTGCATTTCTCATTCCTCTAAGAAAGTGGTATTTTGGATTTTTTTTTTTTATTTTTTTTTTTTAATGCTTGGGTATTTACTGGGCCAGTCCTGCACTTGCTATCCTCT